GAGGGTATTATTCCAGCAGTGTTGTGCTTCCTGTGATCCCAGGGGAATGTCTGGCTGTTTCTCAGCCTTCCCTTCACATCTTGCATGTGTTTTGTATCTGGCTGCGTTACCAAAGCCTGTCCAGATGAGAGTCATTTGGATGTTGCTGCCTTGTCAAGTTGTCATGATGCTGGCAACGATGTTTGTGGCGTACCAGCATAGTGCTGGACTGGAGTCAGAGCTCCTAGACCGTGGTCATGGGGATGCAAGGAGTCTTAGTAAGTGCAGGACTTAAAAATACAGCATTCCCCAGGCTGAATTAACACCAGAAATTCCAGGGCAGGTAAACCTGGCGTGTGAGGCAGCTTCAGTTACAAAGGACCACCATCAGCCTAGCCTGGAGGCAGCCCAAGTAACCCATCTGGGCTTGTGTGCTGTGCCAGGGTGGTGCTGTGTTTATGTTGTGGTGGTGGGCTCTGTCTGCCTGTGCCAGGGGAGAAGGGAGGAAAGGCTGAGACGGGATGGGAACAGGGATGAGGGTTAACAAATTCTAGCAAGGAAGATTCACTTATGCAGGAATCATAAGCCCAGGACTGGAGGATTATCTCTTTAGACTCCCCTGCTAAAGAGCCACCATGGAGAGGAGCCCTTTGGTGGCATGAATTGGAAGATAATCACTACGGCTCCCCATCTGGAGGAGCATCTCCCTTCGTGGAGGATATGCAGAATTTAGTGTCTGCTCTCCAGAAATGTTCATGCCACTTGAACCAGCCACCTGTCTTCATGAATTGAGCTGTGGCTCTTGGGCTTGTGTCTGCTGCCTCAGAGGTTGCTGTGTTTTGCATTAACCCTTTGCAGCCTCGGAGAAATGTGTCGTCTGCATGCTGAAAGTGTTATTGGCTGACTGGTGCTCATTTCTGGGAAGTCTGAGGGATTCCTCATTTGTCAAGCAGAGGTTTGGGGGAAAAGGGAGCCTCTCTGCTTGCGGGGAGTAGGAAGAGGAATTTCCTTGCGGTGGTTGAAGGACATGAAAGCAGAGCCAGGAATCCCCTGTGACTTCATTAGGCTGTATGGTTAGCTGGAGTTGGCTGGCTCTCAAGTATTTTCCAGTTGTCCATGGAGGGCACTTGGACAGCTTCCACCCAACCCCACTCCCACATCCCCTCTGAAATGTCTACAGGGAAAAGACTCCTATTTTTGAGTCGCAGTGGAATTCCTGTGGCATTACACACTGCATCCTTTGCAGTACCCAGAGAATTCAGTTTAATTTATAGTAATGCACAGGATACATGCTGGCCTTTTCAATTGGAGGTGCCATCTTTTGCTTCTTGGTGGTCATGGCTCCTTTGTGGCCCTGAGGCTTCCTGGTATGATGTGGCTGTCACTAAAAAATGCCACTCTTGCTCCTCATTTCCCACCTTAAACCATGTCAGGCTTGTGTTACAGCTTGATTTTACATTCTGCTGCCCCACAGATCAGCAGATCCTCTCTTCTTGCCCACCTCTGCACCAACAGTGGTCCTATTGTTGCTGCCAGAAATTCCTACTGGAAAAGCAGCAACAGCTCTGCCTCCCCAGGGTATGTCAAGCCTTCTCCTTTGGCCAGGCCAGCCCAGAGCCTGACTTACAGTCATGACTGGGAAGATGTTGCTATGCCCCTTATAGGTTAGGATAAAATTGTCCAAGGAAAAGCATGAGAAAAGGATGTGAGGGTTCTCTAGGGAGGTCTGGCATCGTGGATGAGAGCGATGTTTTTACTGCTCAGAAAGGAAGTTTTGGGTCTTTAGACTTCAATAAGGTAAGATCTAGTGCAGTATAAGTTTACCATGCAAAGCTGGAGTCATTTGATGACTTTCCCCTTTGATATGATGGGGTGGCATGGAGAAGATGGAGCAGGACTCCGAGAAGACAGAAGACAGGAAGCAATGGGCACAACTGGGAATGTGAGAAATTTGGATTAGGAATTTTTTTTAACTTGAGGATGGTTAAATACTAGAATAAGTTGCCCAGGGAGGTTGGGAAACCTCTGTCGTTGTAGCTGGACCTGACCTTGAACAACCAGATCTAATTAGACCTGTTTTGAGATCCTCTCCACCTGCCAATTAAGTCTGATTCCACTATTCTATTGTGACACAGTCACTGAAGCTGCTAGACTTCATCTTCCTTTCCTTTTTCTGACAGCAAGAAGAGTCCCACGCTGACAGCTGTCCCACACAAGTAAAGCAGGATGCAGTGTGGTGCTGAAACCTGCCTTAGAGTCAGGTCATTGACTAGTGTCATTCATCTGGCAAACCTGATGTCCCTATTCCATCTCTCTTCTATCCTCTGCCCTATTCTTTGGGGTTTGTTTGGGTTTTACTCCTCAGCTGGTGTCCTTCTCTCCTTCCTTGTGCTTCCATGTTGTCTTGCAGTGCCCACCCTGCTGTAAATGCCATCTAATTTGGAATACTCTGGTCTTGTAGGCGTTGGAAAGCTATTTGGGGAGCAGAGGAGAGGGCTGTCACTTAGGCTGTTTGTGGAGACCAAAGGCTGCTCTGCCTTCTCCCCAGGGAAAATCACAGAAGCGCTGGACAAGAGGAGAGCTTAACCTTTGGCAGTAAGCAAAAGGCTCAGACGCCAGTTGGGTGCTCCTTGTCTAACCTAAGGATGCCAGTGGGAAATGTGAATTGAGAGGAATTGGAGTTGCCCATTCTAGAGTTGTTTTGGTCTCGCTCGTGTCTTTGGGGATGTCGGCGGGATATCGGTGCTTTCCGTGCCATAGTGGGTGAAACTGGGGTCCCTTCCTCTCCTCTCCTCTTCCAACTCATCTGAGCATCTCAGTGCTGGAGCTGCTCCCCCTAACCCTGACACATCTCTCAACCATCCAAATCTCTCAATGGAGGAAGCTACAGTTATTTATAATTAAGGCTTGACAAAAAATGCTGCTAATGTCAAGGGACCGGCAGGCGACAGCCAGAAAAACATCATGTCTCCAGAAGAGGGGCAGCAGGAATATCCCTCTGAATAGGGCTGACGTCGGCTCCTGGAATTTGGACAGCCTGGAAGGGTTTGGGGCTATTTTTCCGAGATATCATAGGTCAGGAATTGATGTTATTTTTAAGTCTGTGTCCCCCGAGCAGCTCTGATGAGTGAAGGAGACTTTCTCTCCCCCTCCCTGCTCCTTGTGCTCTATTTCTACGAAATTTTTGCTTCTCTTTCTCCCAAGTCATGCCACAAATATGTCCTTCAGGTTTGTTTATTCCTCTCCCTATCTATTCCTCCCAGCCTGCTCCCGTCTTGGTTGGGTTGGAGGGATGGCGTCAGCGTGGCTCGTGTCTGGGATGCTCAGGCGAGACATCACAGGCAAGAGATCATGTTCTCCTAATTTGTCCTTTCCGGTTGGGAGAGTTTTCTCTCCGCAAGCTGATGTGGCTGGGGAAAGTGTTCTGGGAATGCTGCTTTGTGGTGGGAGATCTCAGGGCCTGTTGAAGACAAGCTGGTCATCTCATCTTGCCACATAGTCCAGCCAAGATTCTTCTGAAGTAACTGAAGCTTCAGAGCTGATGGGAAGGTGGGTGAGATGCCTCCAACTCGGGATGGTCTTTTGGGGCTGACTGGTAGGGGAGAGGCAGTCAGCAGATCCTGATTATCTGACATCTCCCAAGTCAGCAATGGCTTCTGAAAGTCTCTGCTATTTCAGGTCCAGGGAAGAGGCCCTTGGGTTTATCCAACTCTGTTCCACATGCCATCCTGCTCTAGTTTATTTCTGGAATCCTCTGTTTTTTCAACTTTTCCTCCTTCTCTTCAATTTGCTGTAGCAACCTCTCTCTCTCTCTAAACAGGCCTGTTGGTGTAATAACTTGACTCGGGATCTTGCCATTTCAAACAGCGTATTTGCACATTTCATTGGTTTTCTTTCTCAAGTCACATCTCAGATGAGAACACACCTTTTCCCCCTTAGCCCATGCTCAGGTTTTTGTCCCTCTTTCCTTCCTTGCCCTAATGGACACCACTTCTACAGAAGCTGCTTGTTCAAATAGAGTTGCTGTGCCTTCATGGCGAGTCCAGTGTGAAGTACTGACCACACTCCCTTCATAATCTCTCCATGCAGCTCAAAGATGCCAATTGCTCCTGGAAGCATGGGAATAAGTGAAATGCTTTCCACCACCTTAATGTTGCTGTTGGCCTTATGCTGCAGGTTTAGTCATTCTTATGACATATTTCCACAATGGTGCATTTCCATCATCATTCCACAGTGATGTATTTGAAGCCTTTCCATGAGTTGTTTTTTTTCCCCTGTCTAGAATCTCTTAAATTGATGGCTTCACAAACCTTGGGGCAGGGTCTTCAGGTTCTGAAGACAGAAACAAGTTGTAGAAATAGAGGGACAACGTCTGCTACCTGTCCTAATCCTGTCTGAGCCTGTGAGGTTAGTGGCAGTGATGAAAATGTAGTACTTGATTTATAGAATATAAAATCATAGAATGTCCTGAGATGGAAGGGACACACAAGGATCATTGAAGTCCATTTAAAAGAGTACCTGGCATTTGCAGCACAGCCCAAGGCCCTATAATTCCACTGCTATTATTGTTGGAATTATTATTGTTGTTATTAGGTTAGAGTCTCATTGTTTTTCATAGCTGAGGACATGAACTCCCTGAAGACTAACTCTGGGACTGTTGGTGTACTGGTGAATGTGATACAGACTTTTCATCTGCGCAGGAACAGCCACACAGAGGGAAGAATGAATTTCCTGGTGGCTGCAATTAGCAAACTTATTCACAATTGCATGACTGCCTCCCACCCAAACCCCTCACTGGCAGAACTTGCTCCCTACAGAGCAGAATTAGTAAGTGCCATGGAATATCCTGTTGAAATGCTGAATTTTGCCGCACTTTACCAAACACTACTCGTTTGGGAGAGTTGAGGATGGGGTCTCCAGGTCTGCTGCACCCTTTGTAGGATATCTGTGGGTGGCTCCTGCTTTTCCTCTTTGCTCTGTTGGAGTCTGTGCTGACTGTCTCCTCTCCCTTGTCCTTGCAGGGCGTACATGAGCGTGAAGGAGCTGAAGGAGGCACTGCAGCTCAACAGCACCCACTTCCTCAACGTTTACTTCGCCAGCTCCGTCAGGGAAGAGTTGGCTGGTGCTGCCACTTGGCCATGGGATAAAGAGGCCCTTAGTCACCTGGGTAAGTAAGTTGTCCCACTCATGGGGTCTCAGGATTGTTGGTTTTCCTCTTTCTCTCTTGACTTGACAAAGAGGTGTGTGTGTGATGTGGCTCAACATTGAGGATGCTTGATAAGAAGGTCGTAATAAGAGGGTCTGAGTGTACCAATAGCTGCTGCTGTAAGGAAAGGAGCTGCTGTTCCGTGTTCATATGGATAAGATGGTGAGATTATACACTGAAAAGGTACTTCCAGGTTATGAGAAACTTCTAACAGTGAAGGCAGTGAGACAGTGGGACAGAGACAGTAGAACTGCAGGTTCACCATCAGTGCAGGCTCTGCAGAGAACTTTAAACTCGTATTTGGCTTCTCTGGGACCTTCCAGGTCTATCTTCTAGGACTCTGGAAACAGTGAAGTTGGCTTTTGCAGCATGTATAACGAACAGATAAACCAGGAGTGTCAGTGTTTTGAGAACTGAGACTCCAGATTTGAGCTACTCCAGGTCTGACCAGGCAGCCAGCACTGGCCACTTCTGAATCCAGCTGCAAGTGTGAGGATACCTATCAAATTTTACCATGTTTTTACAACTTGGCTTACTACCTGCTGGAGGCAAGGTTCTCCTTGGCTTCAGTGGATTCAAGGCAGACCCTTAAGGTCACCAGTCCTCGTAGGCTACAAAATAACCAGAGTGACAGCTGGTTGCCTAGAATGTGACTGTATTGTGTGTTTTCTGCTATTTCTGCTGTTTCGTTTTCCTGCCTCTCCCTTCACCTCTTCAATGTCGGAGTTTTCTGGCAGAGCCCTTTGCACTTTGTAGTCAAAATGTCTAAAGTGTTTCTTAATAAGTAACTGGAAATAATTACTCCTGACACCTGCACAGCAGACCTAGACCTTCTGCTTTTACAAGTGCGTGGTGTTCAACCCTTAAAAGTTTTACACTGCTGTTAAAGACCTGTTTTAAAGTGCCTTTTTGCCAGTTCCCCTCCCTCAATGAGTTTCAGGGCTGTTTTTTCGATAGTGCATTGCCACAGCCATTTGTTGAGGAAGGCACATCTCCATGAAATTTATTCTTTCGGCTTCCAGAAATCACTTCCAAGGCTCAGCCTGACAATCATCTGACTGCAGCAAGTGCTTCAGCCACACATGTTCTCTTCAGACCCCTCCCAATGGCTCACAAGGAGTTGTACAGAGGGGTAGTTGGGGTGACTGGTCTCATCAGAAGGTTGCATTCAGCTCCAGTCTCAGAGCTTGTGTCCAGCCGGGGACACGAGAGGTGGTACCATGGTGGAAATGTTGGATCAGGGAGTTTCAGGGGAAAAGGAGTGTTGTCTTGGCTCTGGTGCCAGAGCTGTGAAGTATGAAGCTGGATCTGAACCTCTTTGGGGCTCTGGCACAGACTGAAGAATTTGGTTCAAGGCTGTCCTTGGTTTAAGCTTTAATGAGCTCGAGAGGGTGGGCGGTGGACTCTGTTCTCCATAAACAGTGAGCTCCACCACATCATCATGTATTTGGTACCATGCACAATGTATATTATTGTCCAGCAAAACAAAACTTAGGGCTGAGGAGACCATGAATATGTGCCTGCTGACAAAACCTCTCACAAAAGGCTATTGGATAATCTGAGTAGATGTGAAAGCACAGCGGTGAGGAAAGACCAAGGAAAACTTTGGTAGCAGTGAATAGCAGTTTGAGAAAAATTCCTGAGCTTTAAGGACCTAAGAGTGGCCAGGGGTGGAGACAGACCTATACACAAGAGAGGGGTCTGTCTCCAAAAGGACATGCTCCTTCCCTTGCACTGAATCATGCTAATCTCCTGTCTATCCTGACCTTAAAATATTAAGGTCAGCACACAATCCCTGCTTCCCCTTTGCCAGTGGCTGCTCCCATGCAGCAGAAATGCCACGCTGATTTTTCCCTCCACCCATACAGACCCTTTCATGCTTTGGTTCCCTGCATGAATCAAATTGGTTCCTCAAGTTTGACTTGAAATTCTCCAAGAAGACAAACTACCTCTTGACTCCAGAGAGTTTTGGTCAGATTTTGCTCTCTTCGTTTCCCTGAACTGGACTTTCTTAGATGTTTTCAAGAGAAGCTCCGTGAGACTTTTTGCTCTCTGATTGCCTTCCCTTCTTCTATTTTAACACTTTGCTTCAGGCCAAAGATCATTAAACTTACTGTTTCCAAACTGCTCTCTATCAGTTCTTCTCAAGAAGTTGCTTAATATGCCATCTGGACTTTGACCTCCTTAGAAAATATTCTTTCATTACCTTTGAGTGTGTTTTTCAAGAGGGTCCTCCTCACCTTCCCGTTGGCATCCTCACCTTCAGTGAACTTTGTTTTTCACCCCCTTCTCTTCATGATGCTCATTTGGGGGTACCAGAAGTTATGTGACCATTCCTGTGCTGATGACTTACAGTTCTGTTGCTCTCCTCCAGATTTTTTTTCCTGAGTAAATTTGATTTTCAGGCAGCCTTTTTGAAGGCTTAGGGTTGGTTTACCAATAACACAGCCAACAGCAACTACTTTCATTGAAGCATAAAAGATAATTACTGACTTGGAGAGGGTGAAATGGTCTATGAAATTTCTATAGACAGCATTTCAGCTGCTGTGGAGCTCCTAGACAGAGACAGCTTGCAGCCAGCCAGCAGCAGAGGTAGAAAGTCTCAGGTCTATTTGCACCACTCCCTGTGACCATACTGTCTGTCTCAGTCTTTCCACCATAATCACAGTGAGTTCCTCTCAAATTCAGAGTTCTTGGAGTCTGGAGTGAGTTTTCTGAGAACTTAGAAGTAAATCTTTTTTAACTACAAAACAGAAGAAATCAAAGAACTTCCTTTAAAACACCCTGAGCTTTCCGTGGTGGAAAGCCTTGTTCAGAAGCCCCAGCAGCATAATGATGCAGATGCTTTAAACTTCATGTGTAGCTGCATGTGAACTGCATAAACATGGTCGAAGGGCAGGGGAATTGTGAACAGTTGGTGTTATAAATACTTTCTGCAGTTATATAAGCTGGGGCCAGCTCATATATCTGGCAGAGGTCGGTGGATCCTGAAGGAGGGCCAGCCCTTCCATCAAAGGTACCTCAGGCAATGGCCATCTTCCTGTCTGACTAACTGTCATGCGCTCGTTCCATCCGTGGCTGTGACTCAGTGTTTGGGGAACACTGGCCCCGCCACGCAGGTTCAGCTTTGTGGTTTGCTGTTTAAAGGTCCCGTGGTTGCTTGAGAATGTCCTCTGGGACAGCCCTGACACAGGAACAGGTTGGCTTCTTGGGAGCTGGCGTGGACCAGAGTCCTTCAGCGTTGCCGCTGATCATGGCTAGAGGCAGAGTCTGCCCAGGGAGTGTGAGCCTCCAGGGGTGTGTGAGGAGAAGTGGGGTCCACACCAGTGCTAATCGTTCAGTGGACTTGTGGACTGGGCATCTTTTGTTCCTTGATCAGAGTGGGGGCTTGGCCTTGGGGACGTTACGAGCTCTGCAGCTGGTAGGTCTGGTCTGGAGGGACAAGGTGTTGTGAGGTCAGAACTGAGGTTTTCCAGCTGTCTGGACTTGTTTGGGTGAGCAAGTCCAAAGAAGTCTCTGGTTCACTTGCCCTGGAGCGTTGGACCCCCTTTATATCACAGGCATATTGAAGATTTTAACTTTGTTGTGTAAATGCTGACCTGGGGAACCTCCTTGAGCTGGTTCTCAGCCACTTAAAGCCCAGTTTAGCCCATCTCCCAGGGCAGGAGGAGGCAGAGGTGAGAAGGAATGCCTGATCCACAGAGGAGAGAGAGGGGAGGCTTGTCCTGTCAGGATGTTATGAACTCTTCCACATCTTGCCCTCACAGCCAGGATCCTGCAGAGGGGAAACAGAACTTCCTGGTCCAAAGCTGGGAGCTCTCCCAACTCATCAGGAAGCTGTGGGGACAGGGAATGAAGGGATAGGGATGTTCTGGAAGGCAGGCAGGGTTCTCATGCTGTTTCTAATCCTGCCATTTAATTAGCTGTTAAAAAAAGTACTCAAAATATGATCATCTTTGTGGAGTGTGGGGGAGGAATGAAAGAGGGGAAGCCAGCAGAGAGGAGGGGAGGGACAGGGTATCCCAGCCTTGGCATCCCTTCCCTGTGAGAGTTTTCTCCCTCCCTGTACCGGAATCCCATTTATTCCACGCCTGGGAAGAGTGTTGGGTTTCTGCTGGGAGGAGGCTGCTTGGTCACAAGGCCCCCCGTGCCCTGGTGCTCAGCCCCTTTCCCTGTGGTTAGAGCTGCAGGATGTGTGCAGGGCTTTCACATCCCATTTACTTGTTTATGAACACTGTTTTCTTTCTGTGTGCACATTCCTCCTTTCAGACCTTTGGGCAGGCAGCCCCCTGCCTTGCTCAGGCTTGGATTTGGCTGCAGAGATGCCTTTTCTTTCTATTCTCTCTTCTCTCATGCCCTGGTTTGATTCAAATGAGAAGGAGCTTTTTTTTTTTTTTTTTATGTACCCACTGGGCTCTCCATCAGTGGGATGCCCTTTGCTATCTATAGCCTTTACCAGGGTGGTGATTGAGAGGGGGATGGCTTCCAAAACCTGATGGTTGACAGGCAAAAACATGAAGGTCCCAAAAGGATTTTTCAACCTCTCTACCTTCTTGTAGCCCATCTCCAGGCAGCTAAAGGGTCAAGAGCTGACTGATGGGATGCAAAGTCCTTTGCTCTGTTGTCTTACAACTAGAGAGAAAGGGAATGCAGCTACTCTGTGACCCATCCTTTGCCTCAGGCCCTGGGCAGAAGATCCTCGCTGTGGGAAGGAGAAGCAATAAACATGAATTTTGAGCTAAGAAGTGGTGCCTCTTGACAGGTCAGTGGTGTCTCTCAACCCTGCCATGGGCCACACACGCAGGATGCTCCACTGAAGATGCCACCCTTATTTCTTCACCCTCTCACGACCCTGCTGCGAGGGCTCGAGAGAATTGCTGATGGGCGTCTCTGAAGGTCCCTTTCCAGCCCCAAATGCAGTGTTCACCCAGCATGGCTCCCCTAGAGCAGTCACAGACCTGCTGGTGTCCTGCCAGGGACACAGTGCTCCGAAGAAAACCCTCTCTGGGAAGGAATGCCCTGTACTCGAGGACGTGAGGTATTCCGGTAGCGCACGGAGCTGATTTCAGGCAGCCTCTGTGGCTGGAGACAGGATCACGCCGTGGCCCCCTGCCAGCTCTAGCTTTGCTGGCAGGGGCAGTGATCATCAGCAGAGATGCAGTGGCAGAGGGCTCTGCCGTGAGGTAGCTGGCACAGTAAATCCCCCAGGGCCCTGCAACGGAGGGAGCAAGCTGTGCCAGAGCCAACTATTCGCCACGCTGCCATCCAAACTGTCTGGGTTAAAAGTGGTTGTGTAAAAACAGCCTCCCAAGCCACGGAGGTGTTGCCTGGAGTCAGCCTGGCACATGCTGGGGTCTGCTTTTAGCCCACTTGTCTTGCTGATACTCCCCAACCCTTGTTCCTCTGCTGTAAAGCAACATGGAAAAGTGGATGGAACATGAAAATGAGAGGAGAAAAAGGGAGGAGAGGGAGAGGGAAAAGCCTCAAAGCAGGGAGAAAAATGCAGAGATTTCAAAGATATTTTAATCTGGATGAAAGAAAGGAGGCAAATAAAAGGAGACCAGAGAAGTAAATTTTTTTTGTTCTTGAGCATCTTCTGTGGACCGTTTCCCGGCAGATGTGGCACAGAGCTGTCAGTGCAGAGTGTGCATGCCAGATCAGGAGCTGGAGAGGCTGGCAGTGAGCAAAGGGAAGGCTCTACTCCTCATGGCTTTCATCAGCATCCTTCATCCTTGCTCTTCCCATCAGACAGGCCCACAGGAGAGGAAAAGCGACTTGTCCTGCAGCCATGAGCAGATTTAGGGCAGTATCGTCAAGGGTCCTGCCCAGCTCTGTGCTGTTGCTGTCAGTATGAGGTGGAAGTGCTGGGCAGTTTCTGGGGGACTTCGTCTGTGCCCATGCCCTGATATCTTTGACAGCTGAACCTGCGTCAGGCTGGCTTGGAGAAGAACTGCCCCCTTTGTGCCCCCTGGAGTCAGGGGCTGGGGTGGCCCAGTGAAGAGGAGTGGGTTTGTGAGGGGTGGAGGGATCCTGCCTGGTTCGTGTGGTCTACCTTGCCACACACAGATCCCTCTGAAGGGGATGATAGGATCTTCACAATCTGTGTTTTGGGAAAATCCCACTCTGAAATACACTACATTTGTGTCAGGTTTGTGGTAGAAGTTTAGTGGATTGCAACAGAACCTCATAAGAGGCCTCAGGGTCTGGTTTGGAGGTTGAAGCAATAGATCACGGATGATTTCTCAGCCTGGGCCAGAGGCAGTTCATTGGAATCTCCATATGGACTTGTGCTGAAGGTGGCTTCCAATTGGCGCAGCCAAGTGTGTCAGGACTTCAGCACCTCGTTTTTCTCACTTGCCAAGGGGGCTGGCATGCCAAAGCCACCTGTCTAGGCCAGGGAAGAACTTCTGGCCTCTGGTTCAAAAGATGATCGATCCCTTTAAAGTTGCATCATGGCTCGGTTTGGTGCCCTGGCTCCAAACCTCATTTGGAGTTGTAAGTGTCATCCAAAGCAGACGCTGAATCATAAATATGCAAAAAGACACAGAGGGAAATGGTAGCTGAAATGATTGAAGGTGTGGAGGGGGGAATAATGTGGTCAGAAGGGGAAGAAAAACCACCTACCCCACTCCAAGAGGGCAAATGAGCCTCATCCCATCCTACAAGAGGCTGAATAAATCCATCTTCAGGTCTACATCTGGCACCTTGTCTGTGACCTGGACTCATAATGAGAGGAGTTTTGCCTCTCACAGGTGAGTAATGGCAGGTGATAGTCTCTGTACTTGCAATTCCAGGTGGAGTTGTCCTCAACCCTGCCTACTATGGCATGCACGGCCACACCAACACCATGATCCATGAGGTGGGACACGTCCTGGGGCTGTACCATGTCTTTAAGGGAGTGAGCGAGCGGGAATCCTGCGATGATCCCTGCAGGGAGACAGCTCCCTCTATGGAGACGGGAGACCTCTGTGCTGACACTGCCCCCACCCCAAAGAGCAAACTCTGCCGGGATCCAGACCCTGCCAACGACACCTGCGGCCAGACGCACTTCACAGGGACACCCTTCAACAACTACATGAGTTACACAGGTAACGAGTAATCATCGTCAGGGGTTGTGAGGGGTCACCTTCCTTCAAACTTGGGTTTTCCTCCCTTCCGCCTCCATCAGGAGTCCCTTTCCTTATTCCCTAACCTATGTAGCCCCTCCTGGTGAACTGGGATGTGGCAGGCAGTGCTTGCAGTGGCTTCTTAACCCCTTTCTTGCTTCAGGCTATTTCCATCCGTCCCTCCCTCCCTGCCCGCGGGTCATTGGCAGTGCAGCAAGGCTGTTCTTGTCTGCGTGGTGTCGTGCCTTTATTCTCCAGTCCTGAAGCTGCTGCTACTATTATTATTATTATTATTATTATTATTATTATTATCATTATTATTATTATTATCCTTCTGAACCCTTTTGGCTTGGTTCCCAAGGGCATGCTGCAGAGAGCGCTGCTGTTCCTCCCGGCATCCCAGGAGGACCGCAGCCTGAGGAGCAATTCCATGTCCCCTTGCTCGACCCACGGCCAGCCCCAGGCGGGCGGTGGCCCTTCCCAGGTGTCGGAGCCAGCCGAGCTGGTGCTGGGCAGGTGCAGGGTTGTGGAGCTGCTGAGGCAGTGCCATCTTGTGGCTTTGGGGACACACGACACCAGAGAGCCCCGGCGGGAGAGACACCACGCGCTGGTGCCTCCCGGCTCTCCCTAGAAGCCCCCCGAACGGTTTGGCCGTGAAGAAGGTGCGTCTTTGCCGCGTCCGACTGGCTGATCCCCACCACCCTCAGCCTGGGCTGTCTTTCCCCCCAGATGATGACTGCACCAACTCCTTCACCCCCAACCAAGTGGCCCGGATGCATTGCTACTTGGACCTGGTGTACCAGCGCTGGGGGCACGGCAAGAAGCCGGCGCCCATCCCGATCCCTCCCATGGTCACGGGGCAGACACAGGACTCCCTCAGCATCTACTGGCTGCCTCCCATCAGTGGTGTCATCCACGAGAGGTGAGGGATCTGCTGTCACAGTGGTCTTGGGATTGCACAGGAGCCTGCTGGAAGGGACAAGAGACCCTCTCTGGTGTGGACCCCCCACCCCTCTCCCCCTCGGTCGTCTCCAGCAGAGCCCTCAGACACAGGAGCCAGGCTGCTGCCGTGGCCCCGCTGGCAGATGGGCTCTCCCGCAAGCTTTCCGCTGTCGGGGTGCCGGGAGGGGAAGCCAAAGAGCATCAGGAGGCAAAGCCAGCTCTTAAACCCCAGAGTGCAATCGGGGAATGAAAAATGAGCTTCATTTAGCACTTATTGTATAAAGTAGCTATTTACCAGGAGGAAATGCAGCCCTGTGGTTAAGGCAGGGAGCTCGAACCGCAAGAGCTGGGTTTCGTTCCCAGCGCTGTCACGGACTCGCAGTGCAGCGAACTGGGGGTAAGGCAGGAAACTTTTCAAACCGGAGAAACGGTGCCAAGGAACTAGAGTTGTTTGGCCGCTGAGCAGTGCGTGGCCACGAGTGTTGGGTGGCTGTCTGTCTTCTCCCCAATACCTGGGAGCCACCAAGACTTGGATACACCACCAGTGCCTCTGTTCAGCAGCCCCTCTTACTAAAACATTTTGGTTTTCACCAGGCTTTAGGTGGTGGGACCACATTTTTTTTTTTATTATAGGACCATTAGCACATACTAAAGAGCTCTTGAATTTGTTTTGATGCTGTTTCACAAGGCTGTCTCTTGTAATTAAAAGGCAAGTGCTGTTTGATGGCAGCTGGGACACTCCTGGGTCAGTGTTTGCTGCCTTTTCAAAGAGCTGATGCTCTCCACAATGGACCTTTTGCTCAGGGATAACAAGGGCACATGCATATCACCCCAGGCATGAGAGGCTCTGAGTACTGGGTGGCCTCTAGTGATCCAAACAAATTGCTTTGGTGGGGAATTAAGTGGTTTGGAAGCAGGAAAAAATGGCTCTAGAAGGGAGGCACTGGGTCCTTCGACCGTCCTGAGTTCTCGTTTATAACTGGTTCAGCAGCTGATCTATGGTGAGGGGTCTGCATCCCCTGAGATGAACTGGTCAAGGAAAGAGACTGAGGCTGACCCTCATCACAGAAAAATGCCTTTTTCTTTCCTGGAGAACACAGTGGGACAACCTTTAATTGACACATTTGTGACAGATTTGTATTACAGTAGTGCTGAAAACCTGACTCCGGATTTAGCAGAGACAGCCCCAAGAGCACCCACCCAACTCCAGAGGCACTGCCCTGGGAAGTGTGGGATCTCTTTAATTCTGATTGGTGAGTGGGGGACAGGCTATTCATCCCAGACTACACAGTGAGCATGGAGAAGTGGAGGGATTAAATCCAGCCTCCTATGGCCACTCTTATTTCCCTGTCTTTGAAGAAGTTTATTCCAAACCAGGATGATATGCCCAGGGGTTCTCTGAGAGCTTAGCTTTACTTTTCCAAGTTCCCATCTGATCCCACCTGGACAAAGGTGGATGGGAAATTGACTGGTCACGGTTAGACATGCCAGTGTGTGTCTCCTGTCAGCAGGGAGCAGGACACGCTCTGTGACAGCTGTGCAGAGGATGGCACCTTCCGACAGTATGTGCACGAGGCCTCTTCCCCTCGGGTCTGCGACTCCTCCGGCTACTGGACCCCAGAAGAAGCAGAAGGTAATTTTCTCCCCTCTTTTCCTCTCTGTGAATCCCCAGACGGAGATGAGATCTTGTTGGGACAAGAAAAAGAATCTCTTTTTGTTTTAGAGAATCAGTTGTCTTTCCCTCTGTGGGGGCTCTGTAGTGCGGGAAGGACATCTTGGTGCCCAGGAGATACCTGAAAATGGCCAGCTGGCTTTGGGCAATCCAACTGACACCCCAATATCAACCCAAATAATTGTTCAGACCGGTATTCTTGAGAGATACTGGCCAAAAGGAGGGGCATTTCATTGAAATAAGTCTTAAAACATAGATCTTGGGACCTCATTCAAAACCTCGGGGGCTTTGGTACAGCTTTGTCCAAGGAGAGCAAGAGAAGCTCTGTGCTGATCCCACTGAGTCTCTGCTGAGCCCTGGGCAGTCTGACTTGGATGCCATTCCTCCCTGGCAAGGTGAACAGCAGCAGGGTGTTACAACTTGTGCTGAGATCCAGATATTGGTTTAGAGACCCACCTTGTGGGCATGGTGGTGACTGTCAAGGTCACACAGCTGCCACAGGAGCTGTTGGGCTTTTCATGCTGCCTGAACTCCTCCAAGAGCAAGGCAGAGGAGGCAGGAGACCAGGTGAAGTGATCCCGTGGGCTGTGTGTGGTGCATGTGCTGCTGTTGATCCTCTGGCTCCCTGTGCTTCTGGTTGTTCTGTGCATCTGCAGCAAGCCTGTGTTTGTTCTGGTGAAAAAGAGAGGTTTTATGGTTTCTTAGAAACTTTTAGACTTGTATTAAGTGGATGCAGGCTTCGAATTGGTGCTGGGCCCTAAGAAATGCATCCAGTGGTTAATGAAGACCAGGGTATTTTTACTACAGGAGAATATGTTGCTTTCTGAGTCTGAAAGCCCAGCACTACATATCTTTTGGTGAGTGCTAATCCACCATCAGAGGAGGCAGGCTGGGGGGTCTGAGGTCAACCTGGGCACTGTTCTGGAGGTGTTGGTGGGAGAACAGCCTTCCAGACCTGCTTCCCTGCTTTGAACCTGGTCCGTCCCTGTCTGTGACTTGTTTCCAGCATGTGCCTGTGGAAAGCTTCAGTCTCTGCTCTGCCTGGAGCGTTCAGGTGCCCTTGGCAAGCTTTCTACACCCGTGAGACTACAGGAGGCAAGAAGCCTCATGTCCCCCAGCTGTGTCCAGGCTGTCCCTAGAGCCTGACACTGCATCCAGCTGCAGTGTGGATACCGCTGTCCCTGTTTGAGAGGGGTGTGAGACACCAGATGCACCAAGCCTTGTGCTTGTAAGCATATACCCAGGAGCTGGGAGACCAGTGGTGCTTATTGCTTTCCAGGATGTTAAGGCAGATGCCACAAGCTCTGGGATGTGACCGTAGTAAGTGTGATGTGTAAGCACCTACAGAGAGGATTGTGCCTTTGGGTCCTCTGCGAGGTCAGCTGTCCCCTGGTTCTCACCAGCCTCCTCCTTGTTGCTTCTGCCCAGGCCCCCCGGATGTGGATCAGCCCTGTGGGCCCAGCCTGCAGGCCTGGAGTCCGGAGCTCCACCTGTCTGACATGAACATGACGGTGCCGTGCCCCCAGCCCGACGGCTGCATCCTGGAGCTGCGCTTCCTGCACCCCGTCTACCCCGACTCCCTCACCCTCTGGACCACGTACCTCTCCACGGGCTCTCCCAAGGCGCTGTCTGACATTGAAATCCTGACAGAGCAGGGGGAGTCCATCCACCTGGGGCCCCTGGACACCTTCTGCGATGTCCCCTTTACCGTGAAGCTCAACATCCCCAAAAAGATGTCCGGAGTCAAAATCTACACCTTTGACGAGAGGATGGAGATCGACACGGCCCTGCTGACCTCCATGCCCCACAGCTCCCTCTGCTCCTCCTGCAGGCTGGTGCAGTACCGGCTCCTGAGGGACCCCCCGTTTGCAGGCGGGTCCCCCGCTGCCCCTGTGCAGCTGCATCGCCAGTTCATCGACACGTGAGTGATGAACCTGCTCCATCCTGGGCTCAGGGCGTGCCTGGGACAGGTTTGATGGCCTCAGGTCCCACCTCTTTAAATACCTGGAGGGTTTTGCTTGTGTTTTGGGTTTTTTTTTTTTCCCCCTTCTCTGGGAATTACCACATCCAGTGCTATTGAGGAAGCGTGACCCACCACGGCCCTTGCCCATGAGCCCAGGCTAACTAGAAGCAGCTTGTTCAACCCAGAAACATTTTCCCCAACAATACAATCACTAAAATTACATTTTCCCCATCAATACAACTAGTAAAATGACCTTTTCCACAACAATACAACCAATAAAATGATTGCTTGAGATAATGTCACTTCTCCCCAGCTCAGACCTCTGAGAAACAGGCAGCAGCCCCCTCTGCATGACCTGGAAGAGACCTTCTTCCCACAGTCTCTGCCTCTGGCAGAGTATGAAGACACATGTCCTACTGTGATGCTGCATGGACACACACATGGTATCTGCAGTTGTGGTGAGCAAATCTGTTGCAGATGTTGCTGTTCCCTCAAGTTGTCTCTGTCCCTGCAGGGAAGTCACACCTGGGCACGTGTACCACTACCAGGTGCAGGTAGTCTCTGGGACAACCTTAGGAGAAGCCTCCCCACCGCTTGTCCATGTCCACGGAGCACCCTACTGTGGGGATGGGAAGGTGACCACGTAAGTCAAGCTCTCAGTGGAGGTTCTTTAAAGCTGCCAGGTTGTCCTGCCCCAGAGGGAAGCAGTGGGTTGGTCCTCCACCCATGGGTCCTTGGCTGAAGGTGCTGCACTGAATCCCTGCAGCAGACTGGGCTGTAGAGCTTGTGTTTTGTAAAAGGCTGTGTGCACAGGGGATGGTGTTTTTGAGGGGTCCAACCTGAAGATCCTCTGTGCTTGACTGCAGTGCTTGAATTTTGGCCCGTCTCAGTGAACTGTCACAGAGGATCTGCCTTTGGAACTGGTCAGTATAACTTTCTACACAGGGCACAGGGTGATGGCCCTGCAGAAATAAGTTCTGCAACAAGCACAGTCCCACGCAGTGTGGGGTCTTTAGAGAGCTGTCTGCTCACTGCTCAGAGACCCCAAATGATGAGGGATGCACCATTTCTACATTGAGAGACTCCAGTCCTCTGCCTGGGGGTTAATTATGCCAAATTTCCATATTTAGCTTTTTCAGACTTCCAGGTTATTCAGAATCTCTTTCCTTTGAAAACAGTTTTCTTAGCAGTGTGAGAAAAGGGAGAGGAACCTTCTCTCCTTTCTCCTGCCTCTCCTTCTCCAGCTCCCACTGAAACACCAGTTCTGTCTCAGAACCTCCCACCCTCTCCAACACTTGCTTACTCCAGCAACAAGCCTTCCTGATGCTTGGTTCTCTACTTCTTCTGTTCTCCCAATAGTTCTTGCCTCAAGTGTTATAGGAAAGTCACAATATGGTCATGCCTTCTCCCATATGCTGTAATTCAACCTCTTTTTATCACCTGGCAAGGTGTTTTCTTTTTTCTACCTTATTCCACATATATTACTTATTCCACATTCCTCTTTTCCCTGCTTCTGCAGAATTGGAACCAATATATGGGATCCTCACTCATGACTGGGCAGAAGCACAGGAGTGTTGAGTGAAAGAGGGTGTTAATACATCTGTTGTCCCCTTAGGAGCCTGGGGGAGGAATGTGATGATGGGGACTTGCTGGATGGAGATGGCTGTTCCAGGAAGTGTAAAAAGGAAAAAGGCTTCAACTGTGTTGGTGAGTCCAAGTGGATTGAGACAGAGTTCCAACTGGATTGACTCCTTTTGAGGCAGGAGTCAAACCTGTACGTTATTCACCCTGCTTCTTAGAGCAGAGGGTGATGCACCTCATCTCAACAAAGCCTGGGTTTGCAGTTGGACTGATCCACGGATCTTGTCAGGCCCTTGTGGTGGGAAAACCCCAGGCTAAATAACCAGCAAAACTCCTGTAACAGGAGGAGGTGTGTGTGCCTGGAGCCTGGTTTGTGAACAGCTCCTCCCTGTTCTTCCTGCAGGGGAACCAAGCCTGTGCTACGTGCATGACGGGGACGGTGTGTGTGAGCCTTTCGAGAGGACAAGCAGCATTCTGGACTGTGGTCCCTACACTCCTGATGGATACCTGGATCTGTGGGCAGTGAGAGCCTATGCCTCCCATCAGGATGTGAAGTCCTGCCCTGCTTCCTTGGTCACTGGAGAGCCTGTTGTGAAGGTGAGTGAAGGGATGGTCAAAAAAAGTGTTTTCTAGCAAAGCCCGTCCTGAGGATGTCACTGCTGCAAGAGCACAAACAAAACCTTCAAAGCGGCTCTGGAAGCTTTAATTGATTACAATATTCCCACACAGGGACCCAGTGGATGACCTGGGCATTTCTCACACCCCTCCTTCATCAGTCCCTAAGCCCAGGAACTGCAGTTCATGGAGGGGTGTTTCATCAAGGCAGGGAGCACCTCCCCTGTAACCACCCCCATCCCACCAGCCAAGTGCACAACTTGGAGCATGTGACTTGTCCCACTGGTGGCTTTAAAAAAAAAATCCTGTAAGTCTGATACCTTATAAGGTCAGGGCCTGAAAGGATGAAATCACACACACATCAGCATCTGTACCGGCTCTCAAGCCCTCTGATCTGAAGCCAAGGAAAAATCAATGGGAGAGTTCCCATCTTTCATATGGGCTTTGGAGCAGAGCCTGGAGGGGATTTCGCCTGATTGGCATTAACGTGGTGTGTAATGTTCTTTCCTAGCAGGCTGAAGAAGGGCAAGAAATATGTAAAGAGATCGTATTTAGTCCTTTATACGTGTGTTTCTACTGAGGCGATGTAAGGAACAGTGATGAGAACCTGCAGTGTGATTAAGTTGTCCAGATGTACATGTCTAATGAGATGCTTTGGGCTCCAGTGTCTGCTCCTCTATAATGACACATGTGTCTCCAAGGTTTTGTCTGCCAGGCCTATGGGAATGTCTGGAATACCCTGGTATTCAGGCAAATGAATCACACCATTGTATCTCATGAGCACAGCCAAAATCAGGATGCTCTGGTCCTACCTACCAGTTCACAACTTGGGTCATTATTTCCTATTCGGTCCCACAGACACTGTGAGGTGCTTAAACAGCATGTTTACAGCACTCCAAAATGTCAAGGGCCTCCTCTGCACATGTGTGGGCGGTGAGGTGTCCCTTAGGGAATCACATCCTAACTCTCTTCATGCTGGAAACCACTTTGGGATCCTTCTCAATGGTTTTTGAGTCTTCCCTGGGGTTTTGTAGGTGCTGTTTTTCTCTCTCTTTCCTTGTAACTTTCTGAGTTGAAATAAATCTCTCATTTCAGGTATGTAAATCCCACCTTCACGATGTGCCAAAGGACCTTTTACAGGCTGCTTGGTTCCCATGTGCTCCCAGCCAAGAGAATGCTCAGGATCCAGATGAGGAAAAGACGCCCTTGGGTGATGAGGGAGTTTGGCTCAAGGTAAGTGAGGATGTGTGATCAGGCACAGAGGATTTTTTTGTCTTTATCCAGCACTTAGGTGACAAACCCATCCTTTTCTGTCCTGTAGGAGCTACAGCAACCTTAAAAAATACTCAGATAGGCCTCTTTGCAAAAACCAAATGCCTGTGCATGGGTTTTTTGTAGTTGCCTCCTTCTCACTGTGAACAGCAGACCCATCCTGGGGCAGATTGCCAGGAGAAGGACAGTGCATGAAACCAAAATCCCACAGAAATGCCTCGAGGCTGAGAATCAACTTGCTCCTGTCTCTCTCCCCTGCATTCAAGCAGTGCTTTAACACCTGCAAAAGGAGGGCACAGGCTGTGTTTCAAGTCCTTGTTGCCTTTGTCCCCCATGGCTGTGAAGAGCAGCAGAGGGTATGTGGATATGCTCTGTCATCCTGAGGGGTTCAGCTGTGGCACACAGGTCCTTCTGATAACTCCAGACCAAAGGTGACACTTCTGTGCCCCAAGGTGCTGGTCCTGCAGCCCAACAGGGGCTCAGGGGCTACCTGGGGAGCTGGGGGCTGCCTCTGGGAGGATCAAACCTCTCTGTCCCAACAAGCAAAGGAGCAGGACAGAGGAAAACTGAGGGTTAGGCCAACAGCACTTTTACAGTGTTGGGTTTCTGACCACAGGCACAGCTTAGAGGTTTTGTGGCTGCTGCCTGGTGTTTCTGAAAAGCCAGACTCTGGCATGGTGCTCCCTCTGCAGTCTGAGACACATCTTGCCCTGCTTTGTTCGAGGTCCTCTAGAGAGGACTCTTCCCAAAACTCTCAGATGACTTGGCAAATCATCAGACCTGAGTCAGTAAACATGGGTATCGCTCTGAGGTCCTCTGTCTCTCCAAAAAAACTTCCTTTAACCTTTCTTTTACTTTTCCCTCTCTTCCTTCTCTGTGTGTTCACAACCCACTTTCTGGCTTCGGTGTCTGGCCATGAGAGATGTGCCTCCTTTCTTCCTTTGCTAGTGAGAAAGCAGCAGTCCTCCCCCTCTGCCCTACCTAGATGAAAGCTTGCTTTCCACTTCTCACCAGGAGTTAAAGCGTGTTCCAGTTTTATTGGAGCTTGTGGTCAGTTCTCTTCCTCTATGGATGTTTATATTCAAGACTTTCATTACTGGTTCTCCGTGCTCTCTCTAGGAGTGCTATTATTTTCCGCCCATAAAATTATTTATGGACTAGTAATAAATATGCCCTTTTTCTCTCTTTTTTTTTTTTTCCTTTTTTTTTCTTTTTAATGGAGTTGGCCTGATTGGTAACATATTGGGTTAGGAAAGACAGCTTTTTGTTGACAATTTGCCTAGCACAGCTGCCTGCCCGGGCAGGAATGGTGCTGTTGTTGCACATGTGTACCCATGTGCACGTGGTGTTTTGTGGCCACCGACTCCCATGGTCATTTTAAAGCTGTTGCACCTGTGTCACCCAGGTCAGAGCTGCACCACAAAACTCACTGGACGGTAGGAATTGCTTCCTGCAGTGTTTCTCAAGAGGTGGCACCAATGAGCAAGGGAAAGGCTGGGTCCAAGAATCATAGAATGGTTCAGGTTGGAAGGGAACTTAAAGGCTCTCTAGTCCAAACCCCACCTTCCTCTAGACTGGGTTGCTCAGAGCCCCATCCAGCCTGACCTTGAATGTTTCCAGGGATCCACAGCTGCTCTGGGCAACCTGTACCAGTGTTTTACCATGCCTGCTACCATGCTGGGAACAAGTGGGGTGTGTGTCTGTGCCACCTAATGAAGCATCTGCCAGGCCCTGTGGGTTTGTCTGCAGGTGGGAATTGTTATGATTCACAGATATCCAGCCACGCTTTGTTCTCAGTTTTTAATACGTCTGATGAGGAGAGACATCAAAATCACTTGTAAGCAAGTCAGGATGTGTAACATGCAGGAAATGAAACAGAAAGGGGGAGAGGGAGGGAGGAAAATTAAGAAGATAGCCTGCTGTGGCCAAGCACATAATAGGTATTGAAAAGGTTTGGGATGATAATCAAGTCAGCTACTGTTGGTCTAACTTGGGGCCAGCGTCCTTCACTCTCATGTAGATGCACTGTAGGAAGAGAAAGAATAAACTCTCCACCTTAAGTGTAGTCCAGGGAAAGCCTCACCTGACCTCTCCAACCATCTCTCCTCCCCTGAGGAACCACACTTGGAGGAGGAGGTGGTTGGGTTAAAACAGGCTGGCTCCCTGGGACTTTCCAGCTGTAGCTCTGTCCTGGGGAGCTCCTTGGAGCTGGTTGTGAGCACTACTGGCTCTTCCTGCTTTCTTTTCCTCTCTTCTTCATTTCCTGTTTCTTTTCCTTCCTTCCTCTGCTTGTCTCACTGAGGTAGGCAGTGGGGATATACGAAATAAAAATGTTTGAGCCCTCAGGTCCACTCCGTGCAGCCAGGCCAGGTCTGCAGGAGAGCAAGCCCTGGCTCAGGGAGCAAGTAGTCAGCAGTGGGGACTCACTCATGGGGCGTTTGCTGCTGAGCACCTCCCAGGGTGAGACCCCTGGGCTGAAGCCCAAGGTTTTCTCCTGTTCCTGTGAGTGAGCAATGCCTGACGTGGCACAAAGCCCCCAAGGCTGGGCTGCCACCACAAATGGCGTGGTTGTCCCCTCCACTCCCACAGCTGGCTCCTTGGGCTGTACCCGGCCAGCCGGGACTTGTCCTCTTCCCAAATACACCTTCGCCTTGGATTTCTGAGCTTCCTCCATGCCAGTGCTCAACACAAACACTCTATCGGGTGGATCTCGATCAAAACGCACCTCTGCACTGGGTGGGGGCGTACCAGGGTGGGGGAGGAAAACATTTCTGTCTTCTTACTCCCCAAGAATGCCTGCCCTGCCATGATTGATGCCACAAGTCTCCCAGCTGCCTCCTGTAGCCTTCGGGGCTGCAGGCAAGTGGCGAGTTGTCGGCTCTCCTCGCAGGCAGGGCTTCTTCCCACAAATCTTTCTGCGTGTTGGCTGGCGGACAGTTTGCAGTTGCTGTGGGTACTGGGGACATTCTTTGGGCTTGTTTTGGGGTTTTTTGGGTTTTTTTTACTGGAAACGTTTTGGAGGCAGGGCTGGTAGCTGTGTGCTCTGGGTGCCTCACTGGCCTGGCCTGCACTGTGTGGGGTGGGAGTTGAAGCCTGGCGAAGAAAGGGCAGAAAAAGGGTCACCCAGGTGTTGCTCAGTTTTAAGAGCAGCAAATGTGGGTGTTGTGAAGATGCTATAAATTTATGGCAAGGTGGGACTGATAGATGTGGAGAAGACTAGTAAAAGGGAGAAGGGGAATTAGGAGGCAAAGGGCCACTTTCTGCTCCCTTCCTTCCTTTCTCTCTCTTTCCACCCACTTGCAGCCCTGCACCTCTGCAGTCTCTGACCCCTTGCTCCTGCTCTCTCGCCATGTTCCCTCTTTCTCTCTCCCTTGCACATAAGGGATCAGAAAAACTGTGTTTGTGCCTGCTCTCAGGGTCTCTCCTGCTCTCCTTCCCAGGTTTGCTTTGAGAGACCTGCAGTGCCCACCTCCCTCCTGCTCTTCCTGGCCTCCTCCGGCACTGTCCCAAGCCGGCAGCGCAAGCCGATGGTCACTGTCCAGCTGACTGACACAGACGGATGGAACCACTCTCTGGGTGAGCAACCTGTGGGCTGTGACACCGAGAGGGACACCAGGAGCCCCCACTACAGCTGTGATCTCTCTCTGAGTTCGGTGCTGTCATCTCTTGTCCCCACCTGTGGCATTTTCTGCCTCCCGCGCCGGTCTGTGGGGATGTGGGGCAGGAGCACATGAGGTAAATCAAAAGCAAAGCCCTGGGGCTGAGCCAGTAGCTTCTTTCTTTGCCCATCTCGCAGGGATGTACGAGCTGTCGTGCCAGCACAACCCGCTCGTCGTCAACGTGTCCCGTGGCCAGGAGGACCCATTCCGCCCGGTTGCTTCGGTGCTTCTCAACTTCTCTTCCCCTCTCGTGGGCGTTGCAGCTGTGGCCTTGCGGACCCCAGCTCAGCCTGGCTCCTCTGGCCCCACCACCTGCCTCCTGCAGCACGAGGAGGGCTGTGGCCAGCAGTGCTACAGGTATGGTCTCCTCAGGGCACATCCCAGTGGGCACCTCGGGTTACCTCTCTCCTCTGGGGATTCGTGCTTGAGTTCTGGGGGGTTTATCTTCTCGTTGACTATTTTGTGACTATTCTCAGGTGGCTTTTGAGGGTTTTTTGGAAGTTCTGAGGTAACGAGTCTTGATTTGCTTATCTCTCTGGGGGGAAAGGCACAAAAACAGATTTTGTACATGGTTTGTGCATCTGCACAAAACTGTATTAAAGGACTGTTTCCTGGAGGGAACAGCAAGCTGCCTCAGCTAAGAAGTTATCACTGAGGGTTGTTGCTAAAGCTGAAGCGTTGACTTCTTCAGCATGTGTTTTACAAGCTCCATCTCCATCCATCCCAAGCTCCCCCACGCTGTGGAAGGTGGAGATGAAGCTCTCCCCCTCCTCTCTGTGCTCACTCCTGGCCTATCCCAGGCTCCTCGCCAAGTCTCACGCTGTCCCCGTCATAACTCGGCGATAACACTAATAGTGGCAATCAGCACTTGAGTTTATTGATTTATTATTATGTCTGCCTTCATAAGGCAGCAAGCAGGAGTCAGTGTTTGCAGAAGGGGTACCACTCTCCTAGCGGGTCGTGCTGGTGAAAGGATGGGGAAGGACTGGTGTCCAAAATAGACTAAATAAACAAGGCAGTAGGATCGTGCCGAGCTGAGGCACAGACCCAAGGAGGAGCAAAGGGCTGGTGCTCAGCCTGTGTCCTAGAGGGGTGGCAGGGCTGACGACAGCCAGACCTGCCAAGTCTGGCTTTGCTTTTGGATCCCAGGCTCCCTGAAGTTACACGCGTGTGCTGATCCAGGGCTCCAGCTCAGCCAGTTACTCAACCAGCACCACTGGGAATACCGGTCTTTGAGTCGAGCTTTGCTGGAATTGTGGGGGTGTTAAGCATGGAAGGGGTTTGACCAGGGTCATCACATCACTGCTACTGTTGTATTTCTCCTGCTGATGGCCCTGGATGGATGAACGTCCCTGATAACAAATCAGTGTGCGTGTGTTTGTCTAAAAGCCTGTGGGATTGTGGTACAATTGATTTATGTAGAGTTCTGGAAGCCATGAAGTTGCTTTTTACTTTCTCTGTCTTTTTTTTTTTTTTTTTTTTACTATTTTTTCTTTTTTAAGTGCACGTGTGATTTATACAGAAACATAAATCTTAGTGAGTCAGCATGTAAATATTATTCTCAGCCTTACATTAAAGGATCAGCGTCCACCTGAAATGCAGTACGTTTCCTCCTGGTAGCTGTTACAGTTATGTACCCACATGCTTCTAAGACCCCAGCCAACTGATGTGGTTTTTCAATTACATTTTCTCATCCCTTAAAATAATTCTGCATTCTCGTTGCTTGAGAGCCTCCCCCTCCCCCTCAGAAGTGACTGCAAGGAGGAACAGACTGACTGGACCCAGCTGAGCCTTGACTAGGGATGGGGAGATGCCCATATAGGGGCAAATAGAGTGGAAAATAGATGTTTTTCTCTTAAAAGTCTCATTATATCTGAAGCACAAGCCAGTCCCCATATCACCAAGACTCACCGAGCGGTGTGCTGTCCCTTTTGCATGGGCACAGCAGGATCCTCAGGTCTCCTCTTCCCTTCCCTGCAGTCCCACGGGCTCCCCATGGCCTTGGCTTAGCAGCAATATGCTGAATTGCAGGATACACATGTGCCCTTAGCAAATACTTGGAGTAAATTAAATTTGAAGAGTTTTCAGAGTAGGAAATGCTATTCATGGTATTGATTTTCTGGACTTAAAGACTTGAATATTTAGAGATCTTAGGCTTACAGCTTCCAGTAGCCACACTAATAATAAGGGATCTTCCTCTGTTAAGTCAGGAAACATCTAAGTATCCCCCCCTTATTATATTTTTTAAATCTGTTACATCTCCAAAATAGCATAGCAGTATTTTTACTTTTAAGGGCTAACAATTCATTTCATATAAAGCAGGAGGACTCTGGGAGAGAAGAAAATCCTCTATAAAAGTCCAGGAATAGAAAATCTTCAGAGGTTGAGAGACATTCAACTGCAAAAGATCACAGAAGGTCCGTGTTCCTCCTGCACAGAGTTGAACTGGCCGTTTGCACGTGCCCAGCCTCACATACACAGTACGTGCGTGTGAGTGCTTTCCTAAAATAACCCGGGAAAGGGACAGTAACAAAAGCAACAAAGAAATGAGGTTTCCTGACTTCAGCCTAGAAATGCTCGTTGCCAAAATAATAAATACATGACAGCTTAGTATTTCTGTGGCATCTCTCATCTTGAAGGATCTCGCAGTGCTTCGCAGGCTGGGGAAAACATCGGGGTCATGTTTGTGCTGATGAAACGCAGCCCTCTCCAGGTCAGGGTGCAGCAGGCTTTTGGTGCTGGAGAAGTGCATCCTTGTTTTGAAGCAAGAGTTGCCTTCTGCTTTTGTAGCCGCTCAAGGTGCTGAAGGTTGGCAGAAAACTTGCAGGCCAGAGCAGTGGTGTCCGCCCATCCCACCTCACTGTTATCACCAGGAACCCCTCTCTGCTGTCTCTGTCAGCAGATCAGGGGTCGTCTTTGCTTTCTGTTCCCAACCTTAGAAAGTCAGGCAGAAATCAGACTTTTAACAAGTTTCCACCCAGAAGACTCAAACTCTCTCAGCTTCCATCTTTTTCTTTGCATTTTCAAACTGAGCCACAGGGCCTCCTGTTTTCCTTGGTACAGGCTATACCCTGAACCAGGGGAACATATTTCATTTCCTCTGTTATGTTTATTTTTAACTTGGTTTTATTTTTAATGTGTTTTATTTTTTGTTAGCATATGCTGGGAAGGGCCTGGGTGAGTTCACAGGAAAGGTGCTACAGGCAGCAATCTGTGTTTGTGTTTCCTGTGTAGTGCCACCCCCCAAAAGTGGCTGTAAGGTGTCAAGAGGAGTCTGGTTTGGATTCCTTTTGTATGGAAAGTGGATGTCAGGGAGAGAAAATCAGATGGAGGAGGAGGAGGTTGTTTACTTACTGTCAATTTGTAAACTTTACTCAGCAAAGAGGGCTGTTTCCCAAACAGGTTTTATTTGGTTTGTTTTCTTTCTTCCAGGCACCAAATTATGCAGGGTCAGTTTACAAACTGACAAACAGCATCTGTGCTGTCGTGAAGATTTATGGGGACCCTGGGTAGAGATACTGGGGTCTTATTTCATAGAACTGTAAAATGGTTTGGGTTGGAAGGGACCTTAAAGATCACGATTCTTTCCCTCTGGCCTAGAGTGCCCCGTGGATGGAGTAACCATCCCTGGAGGGATTTAAAAGACATGTAAATGTGGCACTTGGGGACATAGCTTTGTGGTGACCTTGGCAGTGCTGGGTTAATGGTTAGACTTGACCTTCGAGGGCTTCTCCAGCCTAAATGATTGTATGATTCTGGGGTCCTGCTAATCTCCTTTCCTGGGGCATGGGATCACCTCAGCCTTTGCCTCTGCCACGGCGACCTCTAAAGGTGCTTCTCCTTCAGCATCAAAGCCTGTTGGTCTCTGGCACTTTTCTTCTGGGTCCCTGACTGGCTGATGGGCAGCAGTGCCCAAGGCTCTACTGTAGGACTTGATCATTCACTTCAATCGGTGGCTTCAATGTCCAGATGGAAGGTGTCAGGGATAACCCTTGGAGGGACAGGGACCATTTTCATGGAGCAACCCACTCCATTTGCTCTCTGCAGCCTATTCAACTTATTGAGTTTAATGCTTTGTATATGGGCTTTTTTTATGACGCTCAAGATATCTCCTGCCTTTCCCTGAGACTAGCCAGTCTTGCCTAGGAAAAAAACATCTCCCAACACAAGTTTTTCACCAGTTTGATCTCGAGTTAAATACAGGAGCTGTGAAACAGTGTGCTTGGTGTCACCTCATGGAAAGGGTCACCCAGTCCTATAAACTTGTTCCAAGCAGGGCCAACCCCTGATACATCGAGGGAAGGTGGATTACAACACGGAGCATTTGTGTGAGGTGCAAGGCAGCTTTCCTTTCTGACCTTGGCTCCTGGTGATACCCTGGAGCTTGATCTTGATTCCTTATTCTCTTACCAGTATGGATCTTATGCGAATCATGCAAAGCCCTCTGTCCTTCCCATGTCAAATGAAGAAGGAACAAGAACTGGGAACCCCTGGGGTTTGCCTGCAGAACCCTTGGTGTACCACTACAGGCAGCCTCCCCTGTTCTGCCCTGCCTTTCCTAATGTCATACAGGCACAGGGATTTTTCACAGGAACTGGATTAAACTCATCTTTCAGAAAGTTCTCTTATCTCCTGTCACAAGCTGCAGGAGGTCATGAGTCCACCATTTCCCCTGCTGAGCTGTTCTCATACCCAGTAACCCTCTCTGCTGAGAAGGTGCCTCTGATTTCAAGATGAAAGGTGTTGCTTTTGCTCCATCCTTGTCAGAAAGGTCTCAATGCCTCCTGCCACAGATGACTTTTCTGTGTGTATGTGTCTGTACAGAGCCGTCAGATCCTCTCACTGTCTCCTCTCTGTCGTGATAAATATTTTTTCCTCCTTAAATCTTACAGCATAAGTCTTGCAGCTTAGCTATGGCTTCTGCTTGCAGCTCCCCTTTTGAAATCTTTCTGCTATTTCTATGTCTTTCATGGTGGTGGATGTGGAGTAGAAGTGAATTCCTCTGGGCAAGCTGAGAAAATGAGGTGCAGTGTGTTCCTGTGGGGATTGGATACGGATAAAGGTGTTCTTTAGGTATAGTCTGTCCTGGATCATGTTGGGAAGCTGACTAGACCAAACCTGACATCTCATTCAACCTCCCTTTCTGTTCTTCTATACATCTATTTTGGTGTAGCAAACAACAACAACAACAACAAAAACAGATGGAAACGAACTCTCTGGAAATATATTGAGTTGGTTTACTCTTGCTTCTTTTTTTTCCCTTGTGGCTGCAGAGGGGCCAACAGGTCATTCGATGTGTTCCTGATGCCTTTTCCCTGTCTCTGAGGCAGATGACAGTGGATGACTCACAGAGGTGTTATTTTTTTGCCAAGTTTCTTTGGGAGTCACGTACAGAAGCAAACACCTTTTCTTGGGATGGCAACCTCAGTGCAGATTGTAATCAAGAGGCATCAGCACCGTTGGGTCTGTACACGTAGCCTGCTCCCACAAGGGTTGTTGCCATCAGATTTACTGGAAAAGTGAGACCTTTCACCTCCACGGGAAACACGCCTGAAGGGAGACATTCCCAAGTATTTCCAAAACACCTTTCCTCATTTCCTAGCTATTCTCTTTTGCTAGACCACATTGGGGTAAACATCTTTTATCTCACTGATGTTGAGTGCTACAATCCAGGCTCCACCAGCGTACGTGCAGTGACGACTTTTAACTTCGGGAGATTTGGCTGAAGCCTTTAGCTTTCTGTCAACATCTCCTATAACCCCCTCTACCCAAAAATTCGCACCATGAGAAGAACTTAAAAGTTTCCCCTGTTAGGAGTTGGAGCTTGATGATAAGGGATGTTTTAGCAGCAATCTCTGGGTCGAAAGCTTGGGTAGGTGCTACAGCAATGTACAGATGATTTATTATACTTCAGGCAGCTGCACTGCATTTGACTTGGCTTAGCTTGACATGGGTAAATCTGTCAGTATTTTCTGTGTTTTGTGAAATAAGTGCTGTAAAACATGAAATTTCAGCTTTTCAGAATTTGGGATCTGTCACAACGAAAGCAATGTCTCCCTATCAGCCTTGCCACCACTGGCTCAACATGCTCCATTGCTGGCAGAGGCTTTTGTTCTCGAAGGATGGAGGATTCTGAAGGAAAAGTTTTGCTCTAGTTTTTAGAATTGTTCTCATTTCAGGACAAGGCTCTTACCATTTTGGAGCAGTTAGGGCCATTGCTAGGCAGAATTTCAGAGCCTTCCAGATCTGAAACTTCCTTTGATGTATAAGTTATGGGACTTGGTGAGCCCAGAAAATCGTGCAGGCTTGTGCTGACATGGAATAAGTTAGAAGAAAAATCTTGGTATTTTGTAAAAATGTTGTTGACAAATCATTAGTTCGAGCTTCAAAAGATGCTGGGGTAGAAGTGGAAATTTTTTTGGATGTTTCAGGCAGAAAAAAAATTAAAAAAAATATTGGCTCATCCCACATCTTATATGGCCTGAATCAGAAATGGGCAGGAGTCAGGAGTTTGCAGCTGCGATACAGGAATTTCATTTATCATCAAAAGCAGAAAGAGCTCCTTCATGCTGAGATCAGAACTGGGCTAACTGCACCATTTCCTTGTCCAGCCTTCGCTAGGGTGTTCCAGGGGCTGGGAGCCGCGAGTTATTCCATCACTTTACCCGAGTCCTGGTAAAGCGTGTGGATCACGATGGGGCCAGACCACAGGGCTTTTTTCTTTTTTTGACCTGCACTTGTACAGCACCAGGCTCAAGAGTGTCCTGGCCTGGAGTAAAGCAGTGACAACAACGATGATGCTGATAATGACAAAGGAAGTCACAGAATCATGGAGTATTCTGAGTTGGAAGGGACCCACAAGTACTCGAGTCAAAGTTTGTAGGTAGAATTGATGTATATTTTTTTAAGCTTAGGGATATATTTGAGAAAATCAGGCAGCTTTCAGTGACGTGAGCCCCTCTTTAGGTCTGGAATAGCAACACCAGACTTCAAAGCTACGTGTAGGATGAGAACAGCTTCTTCGGAACTTGAGCTGATTGCTCTCAGATCATTTCCAAAATAAAATCTAGTGGGTATTTGTGGGATTAGGGGTGTAGTTAATCAGAGAGAAAGCAGTGATAGTCATTTTCTGGGACAAAGAAAAAGGTAATTATTTCAACCCAAACCTTACTCTGATTTCTAAAATATATCTACTTGCACATACAGAACCTGTGCATAAGTATATATGTGATAAATATAAAAAGAAATATTTTGATGTTTTGATTTATGACCTGTAATTTTCAGTCTCTTATGTATAACTACCCTATATAACACTTTGTATTTATAATACAGTAAAAAAGTTGCTGATCTCTCAATCTACTTTTATGCCCCATTGCCAGTTATGCTTCTGGAAAGCTGCTGGAAAACCATGATGTGCCCAGCATTGCTGAAAAGGATCAGTTCTTGCTTTACTGTTATTTAATAACAGCATTGTCCCAACTGCTGAGGCTGCCCCAGATGATGTGCTGTCCCTCTACCAGCACCAGCAGAGCTGCTCCAACCAAGCTCTTGGCTTTGGATGTGTCTGGAGGATGCCACCACCCACCCTTGATCCAGTGCTGCGATGAGCAAATGCTCCATAACTCAACATCATGACCATCAACCTTTACTGTGAGGGTGGGGAGGCCCAGGTTGCCCAGAGAAGCTGTGGATGCCCCCTCCCTGGAAGTGTCCAAGGCCAGGTTGGATGGGGCTTGGAGCAACCTGGTCTAGCAGAAAGGTGCATCTTCATGAGTACCCATGACTGGCATGGAAGGGGATGGGATGCAGAAGCAAGGCTGGAAAGAGAAGTTCCTCTGCTCCTGCAGAGGAACTGCAGGAAGTTTAGGAGAGCAGCTCCATCACAGGGAGGTGGAGTTTAGGGATGGGAGGATGTGTGTGCTGGGGGCACAGGCAGGGAGCAAAGCAACTGCCCGGAGAAGGTGACTGCAGGAGGGGAGGGAGGGGAGAGGGCTACAATTGGTACCAGATGCCCTCAGAAGCTAATGACCTGACAAACGCTGTTGCTCATAAAACAAATTCTTTAAAAAGGAAGCAAATGGAAATATAAGCTAGTGAAAGAATTTGCAGCAGCTGCCCTGAAACCATTTCTCACTTCATAAACAGGTCTGCATTGAAAAAACAGCCCCTTTCTTCTTGTTCTCCTTTGTGGTCCCCTCCTGTGCCCACCGGCTCTTTCAGGGCTGTGGCCTGCAGGTTTCCACCGTGTCTTTGGCTCAGTGGACTGGTCCAGAGTCAACAGCACATTGTGTTCCCTCAGCGTTTGTGTCGGCACCGATTTCTTCTTTTTTTTTTTTTTTTTTGGTGTCATTTGTGGTATTTCTAGCTGTGCATCCTTGGCTGGAGAGGGTGAGTGAAGGCAAGAGGCAGAGGCTTGCCTCTGCCTCGCTGGGAGAAAGGCAGCCCATGGAAGTGGCCAGGAGCCCTGTGCAAAGCAGAGAGCAGAGGGAAGTGAGGTGATGGGTACAACTCCTTCCCTTCTCTCCCCACTTAATGCCTGAAGCTGCAGCAGCTCTGCCCCTGATTGAGGAGGGCTGAGGTCAGTTTTTGCACCTATGTCACTTGGTAACAGATAAAGCCAGGCTAATGGATAACCAGAGCATGTTGTGTCAACCCCATGTCTTGTGCTCATTCCATTCCAAGTAATTAACCTACTGGCTACATTTCACTGTTGGAGATCATAACCCTTTGGCCAACACTATTCTTCACTGTGGGATTGTTTGTGATGCTTAAATAATCAGTACCTAATGACTGGTCCTCAGTGGGAAGCTGCTGCAGCAAGGAGGAGGAGGATGTTTATTTCCAAGGAACTGGTGATGCATTGCAAACTTTCCTGTGACCTCTTGTAGCTTGCAGTGGTGCCCAGGGGAGGTTATTCCTCCTTTTAGCTATGTCTCACCTCAGTGGCCCCAGGTGAGTCTGTAGCGCTCAACCAGGTGCATGCTGGGAAGATCTTAATCCCAAAAAGTCTGACATCAGCATGCACAGGCTTGAAATGCTGTGTGGGCCTGTGGAAAGAGCAGAGATGCTGAAGACCATCACAGCAGAGTGGGAAGGTGACAAGAGTGGGGTGGAGGGGCCAATTGCATGTCCAGCTTCTCCCTTCCATCACAAGCTGTGGTTGTAGCTGTGTGGACATGAAGGGGGACTGCACATCATCTGAAGAGTCTCTCATGGATGGTTCCCTAATATCTACAAGAGTTTCTTCTCCAGCTAAACTTTTCCTCACAGTTGGAGAATCCTCTGATGTCTAATACATAGTTTGACATACCCAACACCCTTCTATCAGCAAAGGATTTAAAAAGGCCTCTTCATCTTTTCCTTCCTGACCATCTGTTTCTGCAAGTTTTGTCTTATCCTATACTAAGGCTGACTGAAATTGAGGTGTGGATTCAAAACTCATACAAAAATATACCTCCTGCTTCCCCTCTCTTTGTCACCTCCCTCTTTTTGTTCTCTTTGTCCTCCTGCAATGAGGCCCTTTGGTGCCAGGCTGTATGCAGGCTCCGTCCCATGCAGCCTGCATACCCTGGGGCAGAGGAGCTGGAGTAGCCTCGCCAGGTAGCATGGATTTTGGAATGTTGTTGAGCTGTGCCTCCTTTCATCCACTTGAAAGAACACAGTGGTTGCTGGGAAGGTGCGAGATGGAGTTGGGATGAGGTCCAGCCAAGGCAGAGCTGGGAAAAAGTACCCTCCCGGCACCATTATAAGGAGACTTCAAGCCTGGAAGAAGCTGGGGCTGAGGGATAGGTGTGCATCTCCAGGAATCTGCGACCTGCTGAGTGTTCCATGCAGGGGCCACCTGGAGAGAGCCCTTCCTTGCTGAAGACCCACTCATTGATTCCTTCTCTCTTCTCCTCCACAGCTGTGCCCACGGTGCCTGTGTGGGGTCAGGAAGCTGCACACAACCATTGCTTGCTCACGCTGCCACCCTGAACTGCACATCGGATGGGCCGGGGCACATGGTGTGCGCTGTCACCTGCCAGAGGGGCTTTGTCCCCCGCTCCAGCAATGGGAAGAGCTTGGGCCTCACCCAGGTGAGTGGACCCTCAGGTGGGGGCGACCTCGTGGCCTGTTGGACCACAACCTAGTTAAGAAAGATTTAACCACCCTGCAGCGGTAGGAGTGACCCCAGAACACCTTGTTCCTCCAGCTCCAACCTCCTCGCTGCTTTTCCAATAAATCCCAGCCCAGTGTTGCTCTGGTGCTGGAGCTCTGGGCTCATGGCTGGTGGTCCTGCTCTGGAGATCCATCTCCTTCCCTTTCTGCGGTCCTACTTCTCCCAGCCCAGTGCTGCCTGCAGACCACAGCCCTGCCAGGTTGAAAGGCACTGCAGGGGATGTCCCAGGGAACCAGGGTGATGCACTCCCTCCTATTCTCCACTGGGCATCGCTGGGAGGGTTAAACATCCCTGGGATGTTTTCTCTCTTAAAGCTGAAGTTAATGGCTCAGGAAAAAATGAAGTCATTGCAGAGCAACTATATTTAGCGGCAGCTGAGAGCACGGAGAGCTTTTTTTCCTTTGTGTTGCATTGCAGGAACGCTGCCCATGCCAGTGGGGCAGCACAGAGGTCACCATGAAAGAGTTTGTCCCACTTTCCAGAGGGCTGGGGGATGCCTTGTAAAAGCCACACGCCCGCATAGCTCTTAGCTGTTGACAGAGGAGACCTGGGACTGATGTGTCCTGGGAGCTGAGCTGCCTTGGATCCTGGCAGTCACCTTGGCAGGGCTGTAGGCACAGCATGTCCTGTCCTTAGGATGTTCCAGGAGGGGAACTCGAGTCTCCAGGGCTGAGGTGGTTCCCATGCCAGACTGAGTGAGAGCGTGAACTTGTGTGGGGTGTGGACAGATGCAGGTGAGTTGGGCCATCTTAGCAGGGAGGGCCTTTCCTCTCCGTGGAGATCTGCAAAGGCTTGTGACTCCTGGTAGGCACGTTCCCCATGCTGTGGCCATCGACGTTGGCCAGAGGAGAGGTGGGCACTGGAAAGTGCAGTAGGGCAGCTGGGGATGCCCTGCTCAGCCCCTGGTCACTGGGAGGTTATTAATTACATGGTCACACAGCTCTGTGGGCCGAGGCATGCCCAGGGAAAACAAAATGTTCCCATTCTCTGAAATGAAACCGCACAAAATAAATCTGCCTCGGGTGACAGTTTTCCTATGTTTGGCAATGAGATGGGAAACTTCTGAACAGAGCTTCACCATGTGGCTGTCACAGTAGATGGCAGCTTGCAAATGCCTTGCCCTGAGCCCTCCAGTGATGTTACTGGTCTGGCTGTGACCTTACTCATCTCAAGGCATTTTGGGAAAATGCACGCAGCTCTTCTTCTGAGCATCCTCTTCCGCCTCATTCAGCTACACTATTATCCTGCTGCACACTCCAGAGGACCAGACTCAAGTTTGGGGATGTCCTTGAGAGCCACCACATCCAGGTTCAATAAAAACATGCTGAGAGGGAGGACAGGTCACATCTTTGACTGTATGAGCAGCGTGGTTGTGCTCAGCAAGTGAAGGGACACCAGGAACAGCTGAAACACACCTCTTTGATCCTTAGCCCCTGACTGAGGGCTGGTGGATTGGGGTGAGCAGTCTGGGAGTGGAAATCAATAGATGTGGTTGGAAGGGACCTTTGAAAGATCACCTAGCCCAACCCTCTCCTCACGGCTAGGGACACCTTCCACTAGACCAGGTTGCTCACGACAAACCATCATCCACCACCCAGTTTTGATGAAGTTGGTAGCACGTTTTGACCATGTTTAGTGGTGGGGCCACGGGGGTTTATGTTCTCATGCAGTCCCCCATCTGTGTAAGGGCTGTTTAATTAGGATTGGTAAATGAGGTTTTACGATTTCAGTGAGGTCTGTGGGCTGAGGCATGAGGGAATTGGTGCATTTAGGGAAAAACAATCAACAGAAGAGCTGCCTGACAACAGCTGAAGCAAGACTTGATCTTTTAGGGGAGAAAATTGCAGCGCACAGAGCCGGGAATAACTTAGCTCAGGAAGTTGGAGCGTATCTTGAAGGGACTTTCTTTTTTCCCTTATTATGCTCTGGCACTGCTCAGACAGTGCACAGTGACTGGAGGGTTACCCCAAGGGCCATTTGCTGCTTTCACACCCCACGTGCCACCCTGTGAACAGATAAGGGCTTTGTGACTCGAGTGTCCAGAGTGGGGAGAAAGGGCACAACGGTGGAAGAAAAATGATAGAGAGCTCTCTTTGTCCTGAAACCTGTGTTGCACCTTTCTGCAGCAATGGCACACCAGTAGATTAAAGTTCCCCTGCAGGAACTTTGGATGGAGCTTTGCTTTTTCTGCTGCAGGAGGTGGTGCTGATGTGCAGCTCGGGACGGTGGGACAGATCTGTGACTTGTGACCCCATCGACTGCGGTGTCCCTGACCAGTCCCACGTGTACTATGCTGAGTTCTCCTGCCCCATGGGGACCACCTACCTGCAGAGATGCTCCTTCTCCTGCATCCACCCAGCCAAGCTTCAAGGTATGGTCTGGAGTGCTGAGAGATTTAACTACCCTTTTTCATGCCACCTTTCCATGCCTATCCCAAGTTGTTCAAACCATTGGAATTTCCCATTTATCCTGGCTTCTGCCAGCCAGGTGGGCTCTTACTTCCCAAAATGGTGGGTGTCCATCCCCCTCGAGCAGAGACACCACAGTGTGGGGATAATTCCCTCTGACTCCCATCTCCTGGCTGGCAGCCCTTATCCATCCACCTCGGGGTATAGCAATGTCTTCTCCTGATAGCTGGTGAGGCCCAGCAGCCTCAAGTATTATTGGGATGAGGGAGACAAGAAACATGCAGGCAGCCAGTGTGGACAGACAGAGAGGACTTCAGAGAGCCAGAAGTGGCTGGGTGCCTGGTGGCTGTGGGGAAGCCTGTGGTTCAGGGGGCCTGGGGCTGTATAAAGCCATAGAGACTGATGCCCACAGCTGCAGAGCAGTCTGGGAGATGTTCACCACCCAGACACACAGCAGTGCCCCAGACACACCATGGCCTGGCTTTCATTCTGCCGACTCCATCGATAGCCGCAGGAATGTTTTTAAGCCAGGCTGGAGAAAGAGAGCTACTGTTCCTGTCTGTGCAAGGGCTGAGCTGGATGGGATTTCGGGAGTAATTGCCTTGACAGCTTCAAGCATTGGGACTTTGTGAGTTTCCACCAACGCCTTTGCTCTGAACAATCGCATACAACAAATCATTTTAATGGGTGCCCTATTTTATGGAGACATTTATAGCCAAAACGTATGAGAATCATTTACTTTTTTTTAAAAGAAAAAAGTTAAATCTAAGGAGCAAAAACTGCAGGGAATTAAGGTCTCATTTCATGACAGAGAGGATGGTGGCAGATCCCCAGAATGAGCTGATCAAAGGATAGCATCAGCATCTAAACAGCCCAAATTCTGCATGAACCGATGCCTGCTGCCTTGGGTGGGTCAGCTGAGGGCAGAGCTTTAATCTGATCTTTCACTCACAGCCGCCTCTTGTTCCCACTGAAGTCACTGGGAAGTTTTCCATGGGCTCCCTTGGTGGGAAGGCATCCCCTCAGTGGAGCACCCTTCCAACAGGATAGCTGGAGGTGCTTGGCCAAGGCTGCTGAGCCATGTGGGTAAACTCTTAGAGGTCCAGCTGAGCTGCCCAGGCAGGGAAGTGCTCGATGCTTGTTCTCCCCGAAGGCTCATGTCCTTATGGGCTCTCAAGGCTAATAAATGCTAAGAATAGGCAAGGAAAGGATGACATGGCTGTGTGGCACTGGGAGGTGGGGGATGACCCGACCTGTCAGGAACAAAAGTACTGAGTGGAGATATGGTCTTGCTTCCGGTCCAAAAGCAGTGATCCTGTGAAAAGAAAGTGATGTTTGAAGGGACTGTGGAGCAGCCTGGCTGCACCAGGAACTTGCTGATCCAAACCTCTCAGTAGGAAGAGTCCCATTCACTCCAGTTCAGCTTTTCCTCTTGCTCGGCAGTTCCCAGGGAGCCATCCATCATCCACACCATGTGGGTGATGCAGTCCTGGACACTTCCTGCAGGCATCTGTGCATTTTTGGCCACCCATCTAGCTGGGTCTACCAGCAACAACAAAGAGTTGGTCTGTAATCTTTAATAATGGATGGTTTGAATTCCCAGTCACACCAGTGAAGCCTCCCATGCCTATCCTCCTGGAACTTTCCACGTTCCTGACTCTCATGTTGCTGAGACAGGTGGTAGATACCCCATCCATGGAAACGTTCAAAGTGAGGTTGGATGGGGCTCTGAGCTACCTGATCTAGTAGAGGGTGTTGGACTAGATGGCCTTTAGAGGTCCTTTCCAACACAGACTGTTCCGTGACCTTGCACTGCACATGTTACAGCTTGATAAGGGAGGAAGGACAAGCTGCAAAAAGCTTGGGAGAATGAAGTCGGGGAGAATGAAGGCGGGCTGAAGTAAGTATGACAGATAGGTGTCCTACACAAAAGCCCCTGGCCCACAGATGGCTACCTAAGGCAGAGAGGGGAAGTTCAAGGGAAAGTTTTGGGGAGCTTTGCAGAACCAAGATCCTTTCTCTGTCCCCTAGATGTTGGCCCTTCCCTACTTCTGTCTGCATTCAAGTATTTTCTGCCACAACTGGACCAAGCAGACAATGAAGTCCACGGCCTTCACGCTTGTTGCCTCCTTTGGTGCCAGTTTATGCTCTAACGAGGGCTTCTGCTGGTTGCTCTGAGCTCTCCTCAGCAGGACTCCATCCCTGGCTCAGCTGTAACCTCAACACACTGCTTCTCTTTTTGGGGTCAGGAACGAACGAGTGGCTGACCTGCCTGGAGGACGGTCTCTGGTCGCTGCCCGAGGCCTACTGCAAGCTGGAGTGCGACGCGCCGCCCGCCGTGGCCAACGCCAAGCTCCTGGTCCCTCGGTGCCTGCAGGGGAACCACGACGTGGGCTCGGTCTGTCGCTACAAGTGCAAGCCTGGATACCACGTGGCTGAGAACGCGGTGGACAAGCCCAAGAGGTAAGTCTGTGGCAGGTCTGTTACCACTCCCTCCTTCCTCCTCTTCTCCCAGTGTGAGCAAGGAGCAGAGGTGATGGTGCACTGACAGTCCTGAAGAGCTGAACTGATAGGTAGAAGGCAGAGCGTCTTGCTCTGATCATACAGATTTCTTGAAATGCAAGAGGCATTCCTTGGCTTAGGTGAACAAGGTGTAATCTTGTTGTGTATGTTAAGTGCTTTAACCCAAAACATGCAAATTTTCCTGTGCACCTCCAACGTATTTGTCACTTGGTGGAAAATCAAGCACCAAATTAAGTGTTTGCAGACTCCCAGGTAATTAGATGTAACAAGGTGCGAGAAGATTCCTAGAGCTTCTGTCTTTCCTGAAAGTGATGAAATATAGAACAAGGCACTGTAAGAACGAATGGCTGCCTTTTGTCAGGGTTAACATTTTACCCCCTTGCGCCTCTTGGCTAAATTTAATCTCTAGCACTGGTATTTCAATGGGAGAAGATTCTTCCCGATGCTTTGGGGAAAAATTCCTGGTGGTTCACTAGCCCTGCTCAGCCAATATCGCGACACTGGGGGGTAAAGCAGCATTTTGTCTGCAATGCCTCCGGCCGAAGTCCCCACTGGGTTTGGTCACTAAAGATTCCCTGGCACTGGCTGGGTCCTCCCCAGAGTCTTGATTCTAGCCCAGATCAGGTAATTATGTGCTAATTGTTTAATGCCCCCTTCCAGTTTTAATTGGATGCAGACTTCATCTCTACTTTGCTCTGGGGTAGGGTTGTTGTGCAGTGGGAGGCAGTTGCCAAATTTCTTGCCTTGTAATGAAGGAAGTGGTTTCTGTAAACAGCTTTTCACAGTGTTAGGAGCATTTCTTGGGCCAAGGGGAGCTGAGCAAATGATGATTATGGCTGTGATCACATGGACTGCTTTGCAAACTGCAGAGCAGCTTGCATGCCTGTGGCACTTCAGGCACTGGACGTGCAAACAGATCGACTGAGCTTGCAAAGTTAGGCCACCTCTGTCCTGCTGCAGCAACTGCTGGTAAAAAGGATGTCCTCTGGGAGATCCTGGGGCTCCTCTGATGTGTGATTAGGTTCCCTATGGGTCTGAGCAGCTTGTGAGACAAGTCAAGGAAAACTATGTGAAGTGGTTTGCATTTTCATAGCATTGTTTGTTGACATCACATTTTCACGTTTGCTGTTATTATTATTATTATTGTTGCTGCTGTTTCATCTGACATCTCTGATGGTGGAATACAAAAACCACATAAACAGAAAATGCATTGCTTTCTTATCGTGCAGACTAACTCCTATGTGAGTGGCCTAATCCCAAGCAAAAACCTCTTTTTAGAAGTGTAAATGTCATTGTACGGTCTCATCTGGAGCTCTGCATGTACACTCAGCACGAGTACAAACCCCTTGGCATGGTGTAGTAGCTACTACCCAGTAACTGGGCCAATCAGCTGCTGGATTGCTGGAAATCCTTCTGGTGTCTCAGCCCTGGCAGGGAGAGGATGGAAGCTGCCAGAGTGAGAAGTTTCTTTCTTTGATCAGGCCAGTTTTGCAAAATGTGAGGTGATGGAAAGGTCTGCAAGTGACTGGCACTGGTGGGGTGCAGGTTCCCGGTATGCAAGCAGGGGCTGAGCTGATGACTGGGACATCAGGTTTTAGGGACTTCTACTGTCCTTCTGGGTTCAGAAAACTGAATTCTTGATCTATTGACTCCCTGTTGTCCATCAACCCAGCAAGCATGAGCCGTGGTAAAGGATTTAGTGCCATACAGGTGTTGATGGGCACAGGGAAGCCAGACTCTGTGTACTATAAATTGAACAAAAGTCAGGCATGATCCATGACTGAGTGAAGATGCCTCATACCCACTACCTAGCTCAGCCTTGGAAATATAGTCAAACTGCCTTTGAATTATTCTTCTTGCTCTAGCTTTGCTCCTCATGTGGTAGCACTACAGTGCCCACCTTATGCAGGCCTGAATCATGGGTGGGATCCAGCTGTCTCTGTCCAAGCCAAGATGATCTTGGACACAGATGTTCATGCAATTCCCTCACTTCTGTGTTGTTAGTTGAATTTTTCTGGAGAAGCAGTAGGGACGCTTAGAAGGTGATGAGATCATAGTTGAAATTCACTTCCCATAGCATAAGTGGAAGAGCAAGGGGACGGAGAAATATCTGTTGTCTCAGAGAATATGCTTTTCTCTATTAACCTGGGTGAGGAAAGGCCCTCGGGAAATCACTGCTTGTCAACAAGAGATCCTTGTTGTGTAATCAAGATCCTGACAGAGATTTGCTGCCTTTCTGCTGGCAGCATCATCTGACTGGCAATGCTGACATGAAGGGTAAAGATTCTTTGACTAAAGGAAATGTGTTTTCAGCCTGGAGAAGCCACGTGACAGGCAGGTTTCCAGCTGCCAAAATATTTCACTTCTAATCCCAAAGTAAGGGTAACAAGGGGAACTTAACGTATGCATTTGTGCTTTGTGATGGGAGCTCTCTGGATTTAGGCAGGATCTGTTCAAAGGCAGCAACCCACCTCATGGATCACATAAAGACATGAACTGTCAGGGAGAAATGTTTGGCATCACCCACAACTGCAGCATTGAAAAGTGTTGGCCTGAAAGTCAGGGGTCAGGTACTTTGGGGAAAATGAGCATCACTCCCTCATTTTTCTTCCTGTTTCTTCCACCATGAAGTGCCACGAGAAGCAGATCTCTAACAGGAATAGACAAAGCCAGGTTGGATGGGGTTTGGAGTAACCTGGCCCAGTGGAAGGTGTCCCTGTCCATAGCAGGAGGGTTGGAATAAGATGATCTTTAAGGTTCCTTCCATCCCACAACAATTCCATGATTCTATGATAATGTCTAGGAGATACTTTAGAGGAGCACTTTAATGCTGAGAGCATGGTCTCAATTTGGGGACCAAAAAGGTCAGACCCTGCAGAGGGCTTATTTCACTTGCCCATTGTGGGATAATTCCCTGCAGAGAAGAGAATTGGGGATCTCAAAGCTGCCTTTGTGAAGGGTTGAGCCTCTTCTTCTAGCTTGAGGGAATGAGGCAAAGAAGAATCTGGCACCCAGGTCTTTTCAGGCAGCTTTTAAAGTCTCAGCCTGCATTTTGACCAGAGATCAATGGAGCACAGCCCCCTGATGAGCTTTCATGGAGGTGTCAGCCTCTTTGCTTTCTCTCCCTTTTTAAAGACTACAGAGACCAGGAAAGAGGAAGAGGAGGTGGGAGAACTTGGAGGAGAAAATGGGACTGGAAGGAGTTAGCGCAAAACAAAGTTCAGAGCAGGCCAAGCAGGACAGCCTGCCCCAAGCGCATTCCAGTTTAGCAGAGCACCAGGCACATCTGTGGGGGGCACAAAGGCACGGGGTGCTCACTGTCTCTGCCCATGTCTGGCCCCTTCCAAATAGAAGGCAAACACCTGGACAGGTGTGGGAGCCAAACAGCCAGGTAAAGAAAACACAGGCTGTCATCTGGGCTCCCCTGTTACTTCCACCTCTAAGGTCTCTGATGAAGATTTACAGTCCAGGTTGCCCAGGCTGTTTGAAGCACAGCACTGGAGGGTCCCCTACAACCTGGTGCATCTTTCTTTCAATTTACAAACAAATCTCCCTCTGTCCCCTCTATTCTTTTCGAGGATATCAGTCTCCTGCCATGGGAGAGGAGGTTTTAGGCTTGTTTATCACCACTCCTGTACAGAAAATCTAGTCCCCCCAAAACTGGCTGCCTCAGGAGATGGCTGGATCCCTGCCAGGCTCCTGCATGCACAGTTCCTGGAGCTGGGTGAGCACTCATGCCTTCACCTCAGATACAGCCCTGACTGGCCTCAGATGCCTTCCCTGCCTCCTCTACCAAGTAGGTGTCTGGTTGGAGGGTGAAGCATTGACTCCAATTTTCCTGCTTCCTTGTTAATCCTCAAGAAATGCCGCTAACCCAGATCAGAAGAAGCTGGGGGGGAGGGGGGTGGGCTGGAAATTTCAAGCTCCTATGAAGTTGTGTGTATTTACGTACATACTTTTTTTAAAAGCCTCTGCCTTCCCTTTTTCTGTGAACTGCTCACTTCATAGGTGTGGCAGTACCCACACGCCACCATCTGCCCCGGGGTCAGCCCAGGCCAGCCGTGTTTGAAGTCCCTGCACGGATGCTGGGGGTGGGGTGAGCCTCCACAGCAAGGTGGTCTAGGGAGGTAGAGGTCATGGAGAGGTGTGAGAGGCCGTGCTCAGTGCTGGGTCACTCCAGCCCCACATCAAAACGAGGAGCCCCGGTGAGGATGATGGGGCTGCAAACCACGGCCTGCACCTGTGCAAACTGCGGCTCCCACCGCGTCTCCTCTTGTGCTCAGCCCTTCTGCTCAGGTCTTCCCGGGCAGAGAGCCTCTACCACGATTTGGAGAGCAACAGGGAGGTGCAGTGGCTTCATCAGTTATACCCCAGTGGCCAGTGGGGGAGTGAGAAATAGCGTGTGGCTGGGATGCTCCTGGTTTGTCAAGGAGTTTGCTTAGTGTCCAAGGCATCACTTGTTGCAGTGAGACTTCACACCACCTGTTTGCTCCTATCTCCATAACCCCCAGTGATTTACCCCTTGCAAGTCATACAGCTGGATAACACCCTGAGTACCAGGAAGTTCAAGAAGGACATCCCACATGGATTAGTACCTCTTGGCATGTGCTTTTGCTCATGTTTCAAGCTGGGCAGAGCAAAGCATTCAATCAGGTTTGGGAGGAGGAGGTAAGGTCTGATGGGGACATCTTTGGAAGGCAGTGACTATGATCCCCATGGGAAGGGCAAGCAAAGAAAGTTAAATTAGTAATGGAGTAAAACCACAGATGCCTGCGCTGGGATCCAGACTTACTCCTCCTCACCAGCCTTCCAAAACACTATGTAGTTGCAGTTTCCTTAGTCAGTTCAAGGCTCCTGCTGTCGGGGTGATATTGCAGCACCCCTCACTGCTCAGGTGCTCAAACCACGGCCATCCTTGTTTCTGGCATGGGCTGGTGGGAAGATTTGTGCAGAGCTCTGACAGCGGACTTGCTGCATCCCATTCCCTACCTTGCCTGCCTCTGTGTTACCTGCTGGACCCCACATTCACCTAGGCAGGAACCATCATCACTTTATATGCTCTTCAGGAAAAACAGATCCCTAATTCCTGAAGGCAGAAGGGAGCTGCAAATATTTTAAAATAGGAGAGTGCTTCAAAAAGCTAAAAAATTTCACATCCAGGAATTCCCAGCAGAAGTGTGATGGGGATGGGTACCAGCTCCTGCCTCAGGCCTGGCAGAGGGGTGCAGGTGCTGCTCCAGGCTGTGTGACCCTGCACCGCGTGTTGGGAGGTACATAGGTGGCCCCACACACTGTCTGCTGCCTCTTGAAACAAGGGGCAGTTTAATTCTTCCCCCCAGGTGTTTCTCTAACCCAGTTACCCCACTCCACATACCTGTGGCACGCTATAAACTCCGTAACGCGGCGCCTGGAGCCCAGCCTGCTGGCACCTAGGGTGAGAGAGGGCAGGGGCTGGCAGCTGGAGCAGGCTGTCTAGTAAAGAAGGACAGGAGTGGGGGAAAAGCCTTATTAAGGATGGAGCAATGGGCTCTGGCTCAGGTAAAGCCCATCAGGGCGCTGACATGTCCTCTGCTGGAAGAGCATTCCCTGGCCAGCCCAATGCCTCACCGGTTTTGATGCCTCTGTGTAAAAGATGTGGTGTCTCTATCGCTGCCAAGGAGGGGAGGCTGGAAAGCGGGTGGGCTCCGCTCCTGGACTTTTTCTTTCTTTCTTTTCTTGGCAAGTAGTTCGTGCCTGGGCTGTTTTAGCAGCACAGGATGGTATTGGTCTGCTGTGGCACGGCAGCCCCTCGGCGAGAGTGGGATTGACAGATCTGGCTGGAGTACAAAGAAGAGCCTCAGGAGTAGCTGGGCACAGGCCAGAGGATTTACTGGTGGAGGCAAACTCCATCCAGCAAAGTATGTAGCTACTGGCTGTGGGACAAAGCAGCCCAGGACCCACAGGGGCTGCCAGGCGGAGAGGAATGGTTCAGGGGCACCACGAGAAGCTGGGAGCAATGGGGTGGTGAGTGCAAGGGAAAAGCGTCCAGCACTCCTAGATCAGTGCAATCCCCTCAATAAGGAGAAGAAAAGGTCCTTGTTAGGTGTGGACTGCCCCTTTGGAAGTACCATAAGGAGAAGAAGAGGTCCTTGTTAAGTGTGGACTGCCCCTTTGGAAGGACTTGCCTGTGGTGAGGTGTGGTTTGGTGAGGGAAAGCCCCACACATGGCAGGTCTGATCGTTCTCCAGGAGCAAAGTCTTCAGGCTGCTCCTGACGTCTGTGGATGCCTGGTACAGCCCAGGTGGTGTGTGTTTGTGGTGCTGAAGCCCAGCCTCGTGCCTGTGTTTCCCCAGGAAGTTCCTGAAGATCCAGTGCCTGGAGAGCGGGCAGTGGGAAGAAGGTCGCTGCGTCCCCGTGGTGTGTGAGCCCCCACCTCCTGTTTTTGAGGGCATGTACAACTGTACCCAGGGCTTTGAGCTGGACAGCCAGTGCGTGCTCAACTGTGAGCCACAGGGACAGCAGGTGAGTGTCTGGGGGGAGGCAGAGATCAGCCACACCTTGTGTTACAGAGCACCTGGAAAACACAGGGCTCCCCGGGCCCTGCAGCTGCTTGACCATCCCAAAGGCCAAATTCCCTTGTACCAGCGATGAGCAGGTGCCCTGTAAGCCCAAAGTTTTCCTTGCTGGCTTCCAGCCATGGCACAGGGTACACCACTTCCCGGGAATGCTCTTCTGCTCCCTGGGGACTTATCTGGAAAGCAGTGGTCCTAAGAAAGTCAGCTTGTCTTGGGTGATAAGGGTCAGAAAGCCTAAGTAGAGGGTCTCTAGTGGGTCTTGAGAGCTGCTGTGAGTGCTTTCAGCTGGGATGGTGGGCAACCTTGCTGCAACAGATGTGCTCACCAAGGAGCTTCCCTGAGGTTGGAGGCTGCTGCCTGCCAGCTCTTCCACCCTGGTGCCTCATCCAACGCACAGAAAGAGCCTTGTCAAAAGAAGTGTGGTTGGATCCTTCTGGTGGGATCCGGCAGCAGCTGGAAAACAATTGGCTTTCTGGTCAGTACACACAGGCTGGATCAGATGGCTGCAATTCAGCTGCTCTGGGGAACTTCCCTCTGGACTGCCCTGGCAGGAGGGGTGTCCTTGCATTGTGTCCCCCTGGAGCTGGGCAGTGCCCAGGCAGGCCAAGCTCGGCTGCTGCGGGCAGTGACCCTGTCTGCTCTCCCTCTGCTTTCCAGGTTCCCATCGTCTGCACCAAGGAAGGCTCGTGGACAGAGGAGTTCAGACTGTGTGAGAGCTTGTGGGGCACCTGCCCTCCACCCCCGGAGCTGAACTTTGTGGAGTACAAGTGTGAGCAGGGGCATGGAATAGGTGAGGGCACGTGAAAGCCAAACAGAAAACCAAGCTTTGTGGTTTTCTCAGGGCTCCCAGAGAGCTGAAGGTCACGGTGACTCTTCTTCTTTTACCAATCCCCATTAAACCCGTGACAAATATCCTGTTTTCTCTTCAACGGGGATAGCTTTAGCCTTGTTCATGTCCTGACTGTACTCATGGCCAAGACACAATGTTAAAGCTGGCTCCAGCATAAGCTCTCTCCTTTCAGAAGCAGCAGGGGCTTGTCTCTTGGGCAAACCCAACCCTTTACAGTAATTTTCCTGATCTGTAGCCCTCCATCCCAGCTGAGGTCTCTCCGCTTGCTACTGCTGCTGATGTTTGCAGGGTTAATGTGACAGGTCCTAGATAAAAGCCACAGAAGCTGCAGTGACAACTGTGTGTAACAGGGCACTTTCACCAGATGAGGGACCACATCATCCGTTTCTTTCTGCGGGAGTTGGATCACTTTATGCTTTCAGGAAAAGCTGCAATGCTCAGGCACAGTTGTTGTATCTTGTCTGGCATCCCCTTGGACAGGGGATGCATCACTCTGAACTAAACACAGCAGTCATCCCAGTCTGATCAAACCAGGCTGAGGCGAGTCTATGTAATGGCAGGGACTGCTAAGGTTGAGCTTTGGACAGATCTGATGCCAGGCTGGGGTTAAGGCTGAGATCTACCTGATTTTCCAAGATGGTTTTTGCAGCTTTTATTCATCATGGGAAGGCAGTGGGAATTCTGCATGGCAGAGAAACTATGAAAGATGCTTCCTAGTATGTCAACAAACATCCCATAGCATCCAGACCAGACTTATCTTCATGCTGGGTCCCATGACCAACTGTGAATCTGTCTCTTAGGTTGTGTTCGGTTTTCCTCTCATATGGGAGAAGGGAATTGAGCACAACTCCTGCAGGCTTTTGGATAGTTCAAGATTTGGAGAAGGAATTGCTATTCCAGGTTGGGAGGAAAAGGGTCCCCTCTACATCTGTCAGTACCCTCAGTGAGGAGCCTGAAATCTGAGTTGGTGCCCTCCTGTAAAACATCATTTCCTGGTTCCTGGTTTGGTCCTCAAGGCTCTCTCCTCCCCCAGGTGCTGTGTGCACACCCTCCTGTGTCATCCCTCCCAGTGACCCCGTCATACTGCCCAAAAATGTCACTGCTGAGACAATGGATCACCGGCTGCAACCCACCAGAGTCCAGGTAAGAGGAGAGATGGATTCCTCTAACAAGGGAGTTGCTGGCAGTATGGAGAGCAGCCCCCCTCCTCTCTATCTGGTGTTTTAAACCAAAAATATTTTTGCCTTGGGTGAAGAAGGGTAAGACTTGGAAAGACAAGCAGTGGATGCTACTGCACAGCCTCCTGCTCTCCCATACCAAAGTTCAGCATAAGTTACCAGCTCCCAAGCCAGCTTTCAAGGACTTGTAGGATACCACAATAAATGAATTTTACTGCAAGAATCCCGCGGATTTTTCAGGACGTGCTGTGTGCCTAAACCTGCTAAGCTGCTGTTTATTGTCAGCCAGTGTGCCGGGAGAGCAAAAGCTGCCCCTGGCACGGTGTGAGGAGCCTGGGTCCCCAGTTACCTGGCAGCAGAGATGCAAGCCCAGGCAGGCATCTCCCTGCCAAGGAGGAGGCAGGGCACTGTCAGCTGGAAGGTATCCCTGGCTGCCAGGACTCGCTGGCCAGCCGCTTGCCTCTGCTGCTGGAACGGGGGAGCCTTTCCCTCCCCATCTCTTACTCACTTTGTAGGCAAAGCAGCTCGAATAGCTCAAATAGTTTGGATCCTCATGGCACGACTTTCCCAAAAAGCTGCTGTGCCGGGGTAATATTTCTTAAAATAAAAACGAGATGCATAAGGAAGGAGGTGGAACAAAGAAAAGCAAACAACCTTCACAGGAGCCAGTGCTCCCATCCAAACGCTCTCCCCTCCTCCTGGGAACCCACAGGAGGCCCAGCATCGTGCCTGTGGATACTACTGAATCAGACCCACGGCGGACGGCTGCCGGGGGGGTGAGGATGCCTGGGCTCTGTGGGATGGTTAAGCACGAGCCTTGGAAGGAGTCCTTGCCTTTGAGGGATCAGATGGCTTGGCCCATGGAGGCAGTGGCGTTCGGCTTCCCTTTCACCACCGCTGTGGGCTTTCGTGCAAGGGAGGCATTTTGCAGAGAGGAGGGGGAGGGAGAGGAGACGTTATTTTAAGAAGCAGCACTGCCCCTTGCCAGGAGCTCTCTCTCCCTGGACTGTCTTGTTTTCCTCTCTGCCCTGGCTTGTGTCTCTGGTCCCCACTTTGTCCCCCAAGTATCCAACAGTTTTCTGTCCTGGGAGCTGCCGTGCTCCCGAGGTGATGGAGAAGGTGAGGAGAACAACACATGGAACTGCAGAGGCCACTCAGGGAGGGCACAGTCCTGTTTTGCATTCAGGTCTGATTCATTGCATCCCACATCCGAGCAGGTTTGTCCCTCTGCCCTTATTTCCCAGCCTGGAATATGAGTATACTAGTATGAGTATGCTAAAATGGCATCCAAGTTGCACAACAACCACATGCAAACCACCCCAACGAGGTTGGGATGCACAGATCTTCTGGGCTGAGTGGGAATTGGTGAGCTCAGCCAGCATCCTCAGCCTCTGCCCCATCAGGATGGCTCTCCCTGGGTCTGCCCTCCCTGCACCACCTGAGCATGACCAGGACCTCATCCTGCTCCAGCCCCATCATGGTCCTGACCAAAGATGCAGCGGAAGGACCTGCAGCAGCTCTGTGTGGGCACAGCTGCCCCCTCCCCAGCTGCTGTGCCACCTGGGAATGCTGGAGCTGGTCTGCCTGCCACTGCAGATGTCAAACAGGAGGCTGGGAGAGAACATACCTACCCCTCTGTGTGACTCCCGTGCTGCGAAGGGCATCCTAGGACACTTTCACAGGCCAGACGCTGTTTTATGGGGCCTCAGATTTCAAAGCCTGCCTGAGCTTTACAAGGAGGAAATTGCATGTGCGGTGGGGCTTTTCTTCCCCCTGTGTAATCATGAGTGTTCCCCACAAACCCCAGCTGAACGAGCGGGACGGCGTGTTCCAGGGCCGTGAAACTGAGCCCTTCACATCTTGCTCTTGTGTCCATCTGGCTGCAACAGCTGAGTTTGTGCCTCGTAAATACCAGAGAGAACCTCAGAGTGACCGTGAGTCTGGTGTATCTGCTCCAGGTCAGGTCTGGGGAGATGAGTCCTTCCAGGACGCAGTTTTTGGAGCCTGAGCAGGCATCAGTGGGTCATTGATGTCGAGTGACGACTGGCTGAGCCCCCATCCTGTATGAACAAGAAGCTGGTGAATCCAGCGTTACACGGGGAGATGCTGGCAGACTCCAACCTGTCATTGTTTCTGCAGCAGCAGCACGTGGACAAGTCAAGACACCGTGTGGTGGCAATGCCGTCTAAACCCGCTTCTCTGGTGGTCCCTGCCATCTCCCTTGGTCCTTTTCCAGTTTTGTATCACTACAGAAACATAGAATCGTTAAGGTTGGAGAAGACCTCCAAGACCAAGTCAAACCAATATGCATCTGCATATCCACACACGTGTATGTGGGGGTGTGGGGGTGTGTGTGGCCTCTGCCTTGAGCAACACACCCTTGTTAGTGGGTGATCCAGCTACAGGTGCCCAGGGTTTGTTGGGCCTCAAAGGGTGCAGTGACAGTCCTGGGGGGGGTATAACTGCTGTTCTACCCCACAGAACAGTGAGCAATGCAGTGTTGTAGGAGACCCTCTAGCTCCAGGAAGCACTGGTGGCTGTTTCCCTCCCTGTGCCAACTCTCCTAACAGCTCTCTTCTCCTTCCCTCCCAGAACATTGTGTGCACGGGCAGGCTGCGGTGGTACCCCGACCCCTCCGCCATCCACTGCATCCAGTCGTGCGAGGTAAGCCCTCCCCGTCCCCAGCACGAGCTGCCTGCTCCTTGCAGGAGAGCTCCTGGCAATGAAGACTTGCTCCAGCACAAAGCCAGATGGCTTTGCCCTCGTGTTTGCTCTGAGCTGGGCCAGGTCTTGCTGGATGAGTGGAGATAAAAGAGGAAGTGTCCTTGGGTACGGTCTCCCCACAGCCAAGGGTGATGCTGGGGAGCAAGAGCTGCACAATAACCCATTTCCTTGCCTGCCTGCTTCTTGGCCAGCCCGGGAAGAATATTCTAGCAAAAGGATTTCACTGGCAAGGGGTATCCCCCAAAAGCCCGAGCTGACTCCAAGCTGGAATATTTCCTTAACCAGAACCGCAGTTCTAGAGTAACATGGGTCCAGAAAAGCCCTGTGTGACTCACGCGTCCAACCCAAACAACCAGGATTTCCAGCCTTGTACATGCAAAACAAACTGCTCCTGAAGAATCTGCAGACAAAGAATTCCTTGCAGAAATTGGTTAGCCACTGATTTTGCTTTGAATAATGACCAGGCAGGAGAAAATCATAGGCAGCCTGGAGTCGGTTCGCAAAGGAAATTAAAAATAGGCAGTCTTTGTCAAGCACTAGTTGTTATTATGATTGAGGATAAAAGGAAAAAGTGGGGGAATTTTGGAATGTTGTATGCTGAAAATTTGGGATTTTTACCAAAAAGGAAAATGTAAATGGAGTTTGCACACCAAAAATAGCTTTGGGTTTTGCTGATTATATTTTTTTATGTGCTCATTTTAATGCGAGTGATTGCTTTTGCTCCCCGGTTCTGCCTAGCTCAGCTCTTTGTCGACTGAAGTGTGGGAGAAAGGGCAATGCTGCAGGGGGCATGTCCCCAGGAAGGAAACCTCATGGTCTACAGAAGGTGCAGCAGTTATTTCCCGGACTCATGACTGTGTTGTGTGTGTCTGCTGCAAGACACAGGCAGAAGGAGTAGGGGAATGAGGTGCTGTGTGCTAGAGAGGTGTTTGGTGATTGAGTACCAGAGGGTAGTGATGGATCCTCCAGCGTTTTGGGAGCTCCAGGTCTTCTAAACCACATCTTTTAGCTCAGATCTGGAGTAACGTATTTGAAGTGGGATGGCTTATGTGGAAGAGCAGCCCAGATGGTTGTGGTAATCATCTCTGTGGTGGCTCTGCGAGCAAGGGAGAACTTCGCCTTGTGCTCTCTGGGAGTTGGTCCTTCCAAAAAATAAGCAGATGGGGTGTGAGGTACTCCTTCTTCCCTTCCTATGTGGCTCAGGGGAAAGAAAGCTGGTGCTCCCTTATGGTCAGGTACACCAGACTGACCTGTGTTTCCTCCTCTGTAGTACCTGCTCCTCATCTTGGGTCTGTGTCTTCAGTGAGAGTTCCTGTAGGGAATGATTAAAAATGCTAGCTTATTTGTGTGTGTGAGAGAAGGACACTGACTGCTTGAAGTCCCAACATCTCACCATAACAGTTACTGTCTTCTCATCAGCCACCCAAACATGGTCATGGCCAACATGACCTCTTTCTCTTCCTGTTTGCTGGTCACTCCCTATTCTTAGAAAGCAGTTCTAGGCAGCACTCTTGGCATACAGGAGGTTAAGCAAGACAAAATCTGTCCCACTAGAAGATGGAGAGAGCCCATGCTCTCCATCACCTCTGTGGACTTTTTAATGCTTTTTCTGCTTTCAATTAATATTTCATCAGGAATGACCAAGCAGTCAGTACATGTTCTTCCATCTGAGGTCTCACTAAAGCCCTGTACAAAGCTTCCTTGTGCTGGAAACATCTCTTTTGATGGGACACAGGACTATATCTGTTGTTCCTGCAGTTGCACCAGTCTGGCAGCTCAGATATCCTGAGGTCAGCAAGTACACCCAGATCTTTCTCTACCTCCTTTGTTTCCAGCTGATGAGTGCCAGGCTAACAGCAGATGTTTTGCCATCAGTACAAGAGGTTGCACTTCAGTTTTATATGAGCGAATGTCATCTTGTTTCTCTCTCTAGTCCTTCAGGTCATCTAGCTATTTGTTAGATATCTTGATCCCCCTCTGTGGAACAGTGCCTTCTTCCTTGTTAGCAGTTTCATCAGTGCAGGCCTATTTTTAAGGTCACAGTCACTCGCTGTAACACTAATGAAGATTCATCCTCAGATAGTTTCTTTCACCCTGATGCTCCCCTTTTTCATACAGCTTGCAGCCTCCTCCTCATCCCTGTTCTCCTCCTCCTCCTCACCTCTCCCATGCATGTCTGATTATTCTTTTCATTGTGTTTCCTCCTACAGTGCTGCAAATTGTTAAGGTTGAACCAATAACGCAAATCTTCCTAGACAACTTTTTTTTTTTTTAACTTGTGTTTTACAGTAGTCGTTGTCTTGCCAAAAAGAATAACTCTTACCAAAAGTGTCTCGTTCAAAGTATTGCTCTGGAAGCTGCTACTTGGCATGGGAAGAAGGGAGCTGTTATCAATCTCCCCATTTGACCACAGAAAATGCCCTGAATGTTGTTTCCACCTCATCTGTGCTGGCTTCCATCCTCATTCCTATTCCTCTCCTGCCCCCATCCTTGTGACCATTTCACTTGGAACCCAATCTGTTGGGGGATGTGGGAGAAGACATATCAGACAGAGGAAGTAGAGCAGAGATGGAATACAACCTGTAATCCGTCCTCACTGCATGGTGCCCCCCCACCTCACATGGTTCAGCTTCACTGGACATGTCCACGGGACATCTCAGTCCCAGGTTCCTCCTCGTTTCACAGGAATCCCTCAATGGAGACACCTCCTTTAAGAGCTCAGACTCTGCCATCCACTGGGCAGTGAAAATGCTATTCCAATGGACTGTCCATCTCACCTCAGGTCTGAGTCACCCCTTGGAGATTCCGTTGTCTCCCCATTGACTGCCAAGTGTGTGTTGGATCAGGAAGCTTTCTCTTCTGGATGCCTCAGTGAGGGGAACAACCCTACATAAGAGAAATCCAGGCCACCTGGCAGCTTGTACCGTCTGTCCCTAGTGGAGTCACTTCAGGCCGGGGCATGGGAGAAGTAGCCAAGGCTCAACCTTCCCAGCCCCAGCTGGAACTCTGCCTTGCATTGGAAAGTCCAGGTCACCATGCAGTGGCATTAGAAGGACTCTCGCTCATCGTTATCCTACGCTGGCGGTGGATCAGCCTGCCTGCTCATCCCTCTCACTGCTCTCCCCACCTCCCTTCTCTTTCCATTAATCTGGTCGTCCATCTGCCTCCCTGTCTCTCGCTGTGCCTTGCCAAGTTCCCCAGTGCAGGAACAGCAAGGCACATATTTTGGCGAGGGAGGGAGGGAGGGAGGGATGCAAACCCTTCCAGGAGCCCATCAGGAATACGAGTTAGTGCCGAGCGCGCTTCGCCTCTCGAGGGCCAGCGGAACATCTCGTCCCCTGCCATCAGTAGAAAAACAGATGGTGGCACCAAGGGAGGGGGCTTGGGGCTGTGGGGAGAGGGGAGTGGAGGAGGAGAGAAACCCCTCCTCCCCACCATGCGATGGGAGGAGGTGGTTTTGGTCCTGGTGGTGTGTTCAGCCACCATGAGGGAGGGGTTTGTGGTATCTGGGGCACATTCTCCTTAGCCATTCCCAGGTGACCACCTCTGATAAATCCTCTTCCTGTACCCTAAAGCAACTGAGGCCATTGACTTCAGAGGAGAAGTCAACAATCAGTCAGTACATCAATCCAAGTTGCTCCCTTGGACTATTCCTGCCGTGGTCCAAAATAGTCTGCCTGGCCATGGCTGTTATAGAGCACCTCCTACTCTGTGCAACACCCTATCCCTGCACCCCTCTGCCTCCCACCACAGGGACTCCTGTGGTTCATGTTGTGGCTGTGGTTTAGGTGCAAAAGTTCACGTACTTTATCATCATCGTGCCTACCCAGTGTTATTCACAGGGTGGGGTAACCACTGCTGTGCTGCTCCAATGCACTCAGAGGAAGGCAGGCTGCTCTTGCAGGGATCAGAGACAATGCTGGGCAGGGGTTTTGGGCAGCCAACAAATTGTACAACGTGCTAACCTCATCCCCACCTCCTGCTTCATGTCATCATTACATACACGTAGCAAAGGGTCAATTGGAAGGGACCTTGGCTTGAGCTCTCTGCCTCACACCCTGGGTGAAGATGGGCCATGCCAGAATGCTGGTGGGAGCATGAGCTGCTGGGAATTTCTCAGGTCTTCCCTGCATGAGGACAAGGTCTCGCTGCCCTCGTGCGTGCTGCTGGTCATGTTATCACGGTCGTAAAACACTAATCTGTTCCCTGTTTTGTGGTTTTCCTGAGGTATTACAATGGAAATGATGAAATAGGGATTGAAGTGCGTTTGTGGTTGCAAGTTGTTCCCGAGTCTCTTGATCCAACAGGTAGTCAAGGACCCCGATGGATCCTTGGCTCTTCCCACCGGCATGTTCAAAACCCTCACTTGGCACATTTGTAGCTTGTGTCCAGCATTTGTCAGTCAGAATTAACCCCTTCAAAGGTGCATGAAATAGGGACAGTGGGAAGCCTCACCTAAAATCTCTCTGCTGTGCTTTGATGTGATAGGAGACAGGGTGCAACTCGCTCCCTGGGCAAAGCACTGCAGCTGGTCCAGCTGCCTCTGTTCCTCAACATCAGTGGGGCTGGAGACCCTTGGTTGTCCCTCATCCCAGACTTGGGGGCCTCTGATTCTGTACCATGGCAAGGTCAGCACAAGAAACTGGTTAGAAACTTGATGCTGGTGGAATGCTCTGCTCTGGAAAAGATTCTGTTTTGTATTTCTGGGGCTTAAGGCAATAAGGACTACAGACACCCCAGCTTCTCCAAGGAGGCTTTCTGGAGCAACTAGGTATTACAGCATGGCCAGAATGTAGTCACCCTCTCATGATTCTCACATCATCACTCTCTCACCTCTTGGACCGGGCAGTGCTGTATCTTCCACCAGGCTTAATGCAGATGGTGGGGCAGCACGAGGAGCATGGACTGCAGGCAGTGGTCACTTCTGGGTCAGATCTGGC